TTAAATCAATAAAAATATAGCAACCGATAAAATTACAGTTACATTTAAAAAAAATTAAAGGTGTTTGGGAATCATTTTCGTATTTTTGTATTGAATATAAGTAGTTGAAAAAGCTATTTAGAATTATTTAATCAATACAAATATTTTCAAAAACTGCCCTCAACCTCACCTTGAAGTCAACCGGAGGGGCCAGGGAAAGTAAAACAATAAAAGTCATAACAATTTTTTCCATTATAAAATACCCAATAATGGTCAATGGGGTTTAGCCTAGTAGTTTATTCATATTAAATAATATAACATCCCCCATCACCTCAACAAGGGGATGGAGTGGTCTAGCGGTAGAGAGCTGGACTGCTGGAGAGCTGGAACCTCGAGTTCAGTGTTTCTTCCAGACTTTTTTCTACGGGGGGGGGGGGGGGGGCACTTGAAATCTTCGGGGGGGGCGGTAAACTTTCTTCGGGGGGGGGGGGCGGACACTGTTAAAAGTATATATTTTCTATATAAATTAAATAAATTTCATATCGTTCGGGGGGGGGGGGGGGGCGGTAAAAATTTTTCGGAGGGGCTTCGCCCCCCCCCCCACCCCCCGAAGAGATGCCTGGAAGAAACTCTGCTCGAGTTCGAATCCGAGTTCAAGTCAGTAGACCGTCTCTGAGTCCACCCAACTCTGATGGGTACCTAACTCACGTTAGGGAAAGTTAAGGCGGCTGGGTATAGTGCTGACAACACTATCTCTTCATATGCCGAGGTCAAAGAAACAAGTGAACTCTACTTCACCTGCCCTATAGACCGTTAGGTTTGAAAAGGGAACTTTACTTCACTTTTATCACCTCAACACCCCGACTCTACTAATCTAAATTAAAATATAAAAGTGTTTGCTAAATTACTATTATATTAATAGAAAATTATTTGTTAGAATATTTCTAGCCTTAATAAAAACCGGAAGTCATTTTGTGCTTATTTGTCAAATGTTACAAAATATTCAATTTTGGTTGAAAAATATGCTTTCTGGCAACAACCATTTGGAGCCAGCTTTTCGAAGCCTATTGTAAATCTACACCAGTCCTCGTGTGTCGAATGATGAACGCATTCACGTAACAGCGGCCTCCTTCGGTGTAACGCTAAGACACGTTGACAATACGACGAGTCTGGGACTAAACCGGTCAGGATGTGGGCCGTATGTTAGTAAGGCGCAGAGAGGTGGCCGCATTAGACGACACAGTGTAATAGGGCTGGTAAGTAGATCACCAACCAGTTCTACGGCTCAATAAAACCTGCATGAGCCATAATACTGGTTGGTGACCTACTTACCAGCCCTACAGAAGGGCGCTTTAAACTAGAGAATACAGGTGAGGCTCGCCATGTAGAAGCCCTGCATCACACCGGAAACACCAACCACACGTCCCTGGTCACGGTGACACGTTGTCAAGGTAAACAAAATAACCTGCCAACACAAACAGGCTCGACAGATAATTTGAAACATCGTTAAGGTATGCGGTGATTGGTGTCTCAATTCTAATTTGAAACATTTCTTTTAATCAAGATTTAATTTTCTCCAGATGTGTGAAATCCAAATTACTCTTTAAGACGAGAAATCTACAGGACAGGTGCAGTAGAGCTTACCTGATTCTTCAACCGCGGCATATAAAGATATCATTTTAAAACACGGTATATAAATATATAATCTTTAACCTCGGCATGTAAAGATATAATATTTATCCTTGGTATATAAAAACATAATCTTTAACCTCGGCATATAAAATATGCTCAACCTCGTTATTCTCCTCCAATACTCTTTAAGTTAAGAAATCTACAGGACCTGATTCTTTAACCTCGGCATGTGTAACTATCATATTTAACCTCGGTATATAAAGATATAACAATGATCACTTCTCCTGCTCTAGCGTGTAAAGATGTCGTCACTTCTTCAGATTTAGCAGACAGCGGCCCTTCTAATACCCACGTAGTAAAAACTAGTTTCATCGTCCGTCGCAAAACTTTAAAAATCTGGCAATAAAACTCCAGAAACACTTTTTATTTTCTGTGTCTTTTCTAGCTTAAGACGTTTTGAGAATATTAATTATTAAATAAATGTGTGCAAATATATAAATCATAATTTTTATGTTTTTTTTTTGTTATTGAAAAATGCGATTTGTGTGCGTCTATAGGTATTATATAAGTAAATTTCTTTTTGTTTTAAATCTTCTCTATCAAATTCCTTTATTTACAAAAATGATCTATTCGTTGTGTTATAACTGCTTTAAATTGCAGAAACACGGAGTGTATAATATCATTCAGCAGTCGCCTCCAGTCAAAAATAAAAACTTGGCTACCTCCCCTTTCCCCTTTGAACCTTGACCTTCAACCAAAACACTAAACGAACCCAAGTCGCCCTCACAAATGGGATTTTAATATCAAAGCAAACAGGCCGTACTGGTCAGTTAGCGTCCATTATTTGCCGTTAATATTTGCATCTTTCGCGCACATCCAATAAAGATTTCAGGATCAGCCCAAATGTCTCCGTCAGATAAAGACGGATACTTTATCCAGAGATACTTTATCCTAAGTTTATTTTGGTTTTGGTTTTTCGCGAGGAAGGAGAGTGAAGTCAGTGAAAACAATTTTACATTGTTCGTGAAATCATTTCGGGAATTCAAGATTTATTCGTTGCTTTGAACCAAGCCTTTATTTTGGTTTAGGCTGGTTTAGTCTGTATTCAAGACAGGCGACTTGCAGACGCGTGTCTACGACTTCACCACGCCCCCCCCCCACCCCCTCTCACTAAACCTGAGGTGTTTTTTTTTGTGCCTCACGCTTTTCTTTATAGTAATTTAAATAGTAGTGTATAATTTATTTTCTACATTATTATATAAAAGCTTGTTATTAAAGCGTTTTTTATGAATTTTTTATTTGCTAAAGTTCAAACTGGTAGTTGAATAAACTACACACTCTACTCACAAAGGGGAGGGGGGAAGTAAAGGTTGCTGGGCATAGTGCTCACAACACCATCCCTTTTTATAACGAGGTCATGAAACATGAACTTTACTTTATCTGCCCTAAGGATATATAGGTCTGAAAGGATAGCTTTAAAAAAAAAACTTTAATACGAGGAATACCGACCTAACATTCCCCTTTCGGTAATCGTGTCACTAATGTTGAATCAGGATCGACAACCCACTTGAATCAGGATCGACAACCAACTCCACATTAACACCTCCGCAGTGGCGAACCAATAATTGGATAGGCGCGGCTCGACTAAACAACGGAATGTTTGGAGGTGCCCGACAAGCAACAACACATCAACACAATCTTACCAGTGATTACTGGATGGTTCCAGGATATTCATTTCAACAAGGGTCAGGCTGGCATCTACTGTGTTGTTTAGGTGGGCGACTATTGTGTGGGACCACATGAGTAGGCCTAGTGTGTGGGACCAATGTATGAGACCACAAGAGTAGTGTGTGGGACCACACGAATAGTGTGTGGACCACACCAGTAATGTGTGGGACAACACAATTAGTAGGTGGGGCTACTCTAGCAATGTGGGACCACACGAGCAGTGTGTGGGACCAGACGAGTAGTGTGGGACTAAGTGGGACCAGACGAGTAGTGTGTGGGACCACACTAGTAGTGTGTGGGACCATTGTGTGGGACCACACGAGTAGTGCGTGGGACCACACGAGTAGTGTGTGGGACCATTGTGTGGGACCACACCATTAATGTGCGGGACCACGCGAGTAGTGTGTGGGACCAAGTGGGACCAGACGAGTAGTGTGTGGGACCACAATAGTGTGTGTGACGAGTAATGTGTGGAACCCCACTAGTGATGTGCGAGACCACACAATTAACCTTCAGCTGACTAATAAAAACACTACAACAAGAAATTTGAATAACCCTACAAACACGCTGTACAACATATTTAGAACAACTCTGATACAAACTTTAACTTAACACATTTTCACATCATAAAATGCTTTATTGAAAACTTTTTGGGTCGATGGGCATATGTAAAATGTACGTTTTTCAAAATTTTTGATGTTAAGATGGTTCTATATTATTTTAGTAAGATTCAATCAAGCTATGAAGACTAAAATCACGATGTTTGCTAACTGACAAATATCACGCTGTTCGCTTCCTGTATGCAAGAGGTGTCCTTATGATAGACTTATATTTGGTGCTATGTTAAAATACGGAGTAGTTAAACCAGACAGGACCATCTAGGTGGCAGCAACAGAAACCTTGACACAACGATCTGGAAGATAACACTAGGTTTGTGTGACTACATCACTAGCAGACGGTAGAACAACTCACCGGGTGAAACAACTCACCAGGTGAAAACAGCTCACCAGGTGAAAACAGCTCACCCGGTGAAAACAGCTCACCCGGTGAAAACAGCTCACCCGGTGAAAACAGCTCACCCGGTGAAAACAGCTCACCCGGTGAAAACAGCTCACCCGGTGAAAACAGCTCACCCGGTGAAAACAGCTCACCCGGTGAAAACAGCTCACCCGGTGAAAACAGCTCACCCGGTGAAAACAGCTCACCCGGTGAAAACAGCTCACCCGGTGAAAACAGCTCACCCGGTGAAAACAGCTCACCCGGTGAAAACAGCTCACCCGGTGAAAACAGCTCACCCGGTGAAAACAGCTCACCCGGTGAAAACAGCTCACCCGGTGAAAACAGCTCACCCGGTGAAAACAGCTCACCCGGTGAAAACAGCTCACCCGGTGAAAACAGCTCACCCGGTGAAAACAGCTCACCCGGTGAAAACAGCTCACCCGGTGAAAACAGCTCACCAGGTGAAAACAGCTCACCAGGTGAAAACAGCTCACCAGGTGAAAACAGCTCACCAGGTGAAAACAGCTCACCAGGTGAAAACAGCTCACCAGGTGAAAACAGCTCACCAGGTGAAAACAGCTCACCAGGTGAAAACAGCTCACCAGGTGAAAACAGCTCACCAGGTGAAAACAGCTCACCAGGTGAAAACAGCTCACCAGGTGAAAACAGCTCACCAGGTGAAAACAGCTCACCAGGTGAAAACAGCTCACCAGGTGAAAACAGCTCACCAGGTGAAAACAGCTCACTACTAAAACATTATTGCAGCTATGCAATCTTTGAAGATAGTTATTTTAATGATAATAGATAAATTTATTCTTTGCGGTTAATGATAACTAATACACCTATTGAAACTGAAGCTATCTGACTATCTTAGTACATTGTTAATTTTATCTAATACATTATTGGAACTGATGTTATAGTTACAGATTATTAATGGTTACCAAGAAACTTAATACTTCGTTCTATTCTACTGAAAGTTATTTTCGTCTTTAGAGAGATTTAGCGACAACCAAAACATACGACGAATCTTCCTTTTCCTGGAGCTGATTCTACCTTTTGTAAGATTTAGCGACAACCAAAACACTTGATACGACAAATCTTCCTTTTCCTGAAGCTGATTCTACCCTGAGAGAGATTTAGCGACAACCAAAACACTTGATACATCAAATCTTCCTTTCCCTGGAGCCGATTCTACCTTAGATGCCTACAGACAGCCAACACATTTAATACGACGTATCTTCATTTCACTGAAAGTGACGCTCTCCGTGTAGTTGGTCAGCGTCATCCAGTTCAGACCAGTCCCGTAGAGCTTGCTCCCCCACACACCGTTGAGGTGCGCGGTCAGACACTCGTTATACCACCACGCTCCGCGGAAATACTCCGCACAGTTGGCCGGGCCGCATTTGTCGTTGTCCATATCAAAAGTGCTGAACTTCATCCTATCATGAAACTCGATCAAGCTATCCCCTGCGTTGCCCCTATACTCGCCCAGTCGTATCCGATACCCATCTTTCTCACTGCCTAATCGAAAAGACGAATACCTCGCGTAGTAATCGTACTCATTGTATTTCATATCGATCCTTAACTCGTACTCGGCTAAGTTTGTCAGTTCGTGGATCTTTTGATTCCCAAGGTAGAACTCGCCTAGATAGAAGCTGCCGAACCCGTATTTGTATTCTTCCCAGCCGCGGTAGAACTGGATGGTACCGGTGACACGTCGCTGGATGATCAGCCAGCCCCCGCCGTCCGTGTCGACGTCACACATGACCTCGAGTCCCGTGATGAGGATGACCACTGGCCGGACGTTGTGGGTGGACCGGATGTACTCACAGCCGTAGGGCAACTTGCTGGGGGAGAAGCCGAGGCCGTTGTTGTCGGGGTGGATGGAGACTCCAGTCTGAGCATCTGAAAGGTCACATGGTGTTTTAGTTCCTAACTTATAGGATTCCAGTCTATCGGAACGTCCCTGAGTCCACCCAGCTATTGTGGGTACCTGACTTACGTTGGGGAAAGTAAAGGGGGCAGAGTGTGGTGCCGACAACACTATCCCTTCATATGGGGTGGTCAAGCAACATATGAACTCTACTTCCTCTGCCCAATGGGTCTAGGTCTAAAGAGGAGTCTTTACTGTATTAGGTTATAAGATGGTCAATGCACGTCATATTTAATACCAGCCTGAACACAAGTCTATATCAGAGCTATAACCATAGCGCTAATATTCTCGCTATGAATCATGTAACATAACCGTAACCTTCTCTTCTAATCAAGATACAGATATTCATCAATATATGCCTCAGTAGAATAATGAACATACGCATGCCAAGCACAATTACAGATGTAGGACTATAGCAGGGAACAAACCAAGGAACAGCATTAATGTATTCATTATGGTTATATCATGGTGAATACAGTACTAATGTATTGATTAAATGGTTATATCATGGTGTATACAGTACTAATGTATTGATTAAATGGTTATATCATGGTGTATACAGTACTAATGTATTCATTAAATGGTTATATCATGGTGAATACAGTACTAATGTATTCATTAAAATGGTGACACATTAGTGACCATAGCGCTAATGTATTCATTGAAGGTCGACACCCTATGGACAACAATACCAATGATTAATTAATTAGTGACATACTAGTGACTACAACACGAATGTATTCATTAAATGGTGACACACAAGTGACTAAAATACTAATGTATTCATTTAATGGTGACATACTGGTGACATATTAGTGACTACAGTACTAATGAATTCATTAAATGGTGACAAACTAGCTTAGAGCAGAACGCTAATGAATGCAAATAGTGATGCACTAATGACGTCAGCATCAATGTAATCATTTAATGGTGACCACTATGTTTGCTTACACATGGCGTGTAATCTAAAAGCATCACTTACATTCTTGCGAGTAGTACCTCAGTTGCGTGTGACCACTGGTCAGAACAAGACAACTGAAGAACCAGACAAGACACGTGATCTCTGCTGGTGCCATTTGTGGTGCGACCTGTCAGAGACAAAAACAACCTCAGTTACATGAAGTAGACGTGTGCTAATACAGTTTAGAGCAGAGGTTAAAAGAGCTCTTAGAGCAAATTTTAGAGCAGAGCTTAGAGCAGAGCTTAGAGCAGAGCTAGGAGCAGAGCTTAAAGAAGAGCTCAGAACAGAGCTTAGGGTAGAGCTTAAGGTAGAGCTAAGAGCAGAGCTTAGAGCAGAGCTTAGAGCAGAGCTTAGAGCAGAGTTTTATTCAAAGTTAAGAAGAGAGCAGAGCAGAGAATATCGCTAACAACGAGCTAAGAGGGAGAGGAGGGGGAGACATTGCCCCGGACGAAACAGAAAAAATGTATAGGCCTACTATCTATATAGAAAATATATATGTTACTGTGTATGCTAAAGTAACCAGTGTCCGCCCTTCCCCTCTCAAAAGTTTCAAGTGTCCCCCATACCTCACTCTCCAGAGAAATAGATCTATGTCTGAATGAATCACTGGTACTTAATCAGCGGATATCAATTAGTATAATTAGATCTAGATCTAGATATCTACTTACGGGACTTACTACTTACCGGGTGAACTATGCCATCAGTTACTGTGGACTAGATGTTGCTGTTCTGTAATAACGATGACTTAACTTTGATAAATTAATTCAAGTGCTGTATATATAGATGGATATAATGAAACTTGCTAGCAGTGTAAGAAAAAAAAATAAACCTACAAGATTAAAAACAAACAAACAAAAAACAACTGAGCTGCCATCGACCCTTTGTTTACATTTATACTATTAATATTTGGAGTTATCTTCCTTACATCTTCCTTTACATAAAACGTCTATAATAGATTGTACATTTTGTTTGAAGAGTATGAAAAAAACAACAATAATCATTTTAAAATACACACTACACAAACACATGCACGCAAGCCCATTCTTAGCAAGTAATTAAAAATCTATTTTTTTGCGATCGCGAGTATTTGGGACTCCTATAATTTAAAGCACTGGCTAAATTATCTAAATATTTTTTAGTTTAATAATTATTCAGTTAATAACTCGAGTAACTTTTTCATATAGTTTTGTCTATATTTTGGCGTCAGTGTCTTCTCGGACCATTTACATAATTTACTAAAAGATCATTTTACGAAGAACTTTTGTTGAGTTATAAAACAATAAGCAATTAAAATAATTTAAAATTACACTTTCTCGTCTAGTCTACAAAACACAGTTTACACAATGTCTAAAAGTCTAAAAGCTAACGTTGGAATGGAAAGTAAAAAAAAAAAAAAAAAAAAAAAAAAAAAGCTAAGTTGCTAAGTTCAACAATTTATTATTTTATTTCAATTTTAACAAAACGATAAGCTCCATTTTTATTGTTTTCAAAATATTTGACAATGCTTGTATTTAAACATGACAATTAGTTCTTTAGAATTAGAGAAGAGATATTGTTTCTAGAATTTTTACACGCGAATTGTATATCTCGGTCACAGTCAAGATACTGTATTCACACAACTGAGAACATTGTTTTACTCAGCAAGACGATCTGCTGCAGACTTTCACAAATATGAAATCGTCCCTCTCCCCCGGGACTAGGCTGAACATAAGATAAATAAAACACCGATCGTATTGATTAAAAAAAAAGACTTTCATATCGGGTTAAATTTTAGTTGGTGTTTTTACGTTTCTATGGACAAAGGCTGAATTTTGTACACGGTAACCTATCTACGTCTATCAGATGACGGATGAGAAGGGGAAAAGTGGCTTTTGTTTTATTCTAGTAAAAACAACCAGCAACCAGTCTGTTTAACCAAAAGTTTAGGTGTCCTAATGTTGGATGTTTGGTTTATGTGCAGACATTTTGAAGACTAAATTTCTCGGAGTCAAAATTTGGGTTGAAATAATTCTACGCTCAACGTACACTAGTTATTTCTGGTAACCTTCAAAGTGTGTCAATTTTCAGGGGAGACAGTTTTTAAACATGTTTTGTTGCAGATTATGTTGAAGAGTTTTATCTTGTAGAGTTGTGTGTATATATATATATATATATGTATATATATATATATATATATATATATATATATATATGACTATTTGTTGTATATTTAATATCGCTTCTAGAGCTATCATTTCTCAGATTCGATGCAACTATTTTATCGATTTGCTAGCCCAAAAGGCTTTTTGAACCTGACGAAGAAGTGAAGTAGAGTTCACCTGTTTCTTTGCACTCGGTAAATGAAGGGATAGTGTGGTCAACAATGTGGTCAGCAATATGCCCAATCGCCTTTATTTTTTCTAACTTGAGTTAGGTACTCATTAGTGCTGGGTGGTCTGAGTGACTTTCTACTGAATTGAGTCCGGATTCGAACGAGAGACTTTCGAGTGAGCAGTCTAGCACTCTACTACTGGGCCATGCCGTCCCCTATTATTTACTTACTTACGAATTATCCGGTTGTCTAAAAATCTTCATGATTCGTTAATTTTCCAGAGTACAGGACTATGAGGTGCCAATGCAACAGAGAGAGAATTGTTTGGTCCCTGACCATAGCCGCTGTGACTCTGGCGATGGTCTTGATGGTCAGTTACTTCAGCCTCAGGTCAGGTAAGTTGTCTGCAGGCTTAACATCCAATCAATCACCTTGATTTTTACAGGAGTGTTTCGATGATCTCCTCTTTGAGACTTTTGCAACATAATTTACATTATCCGCGAAGTACTGAGTCTTCATCTTTTTAGCATTGATTGCTTATATATATATATATATATATATATATATATATATATATATATATATATATATATATATATATATATATATATATAAACAACGATTCATCCGTTGAAATATCTCTTTTTTAAAACATCCCTACATTGAACTCTGATCTACTATATATAGTACTCATAGTACTAGAAACAAAACAAAAACCAAAAACACCTGGATAATCTTTCAACTGGTCTAAAAACCTGTAACGAAATCTAATGCTAATTAATTGTAATGCAATTAAGGTAACGATTTAATTATTTACCAGCATTTGTTTTTAATGTTGTTGTTTACAGTGATTTACCAGCACAGCAAGAAAACCGCCCCAGCCCCACCCGCTGATCTAAACAGCACTATGACGTCATTAATGACGTCTACCCCCACAGCTGATCAGGCACCAGTAACCCCAGGTAAGGGTCAAGACAGTTCAGGTGGAATTCTATTTATAAATAACTGATGACTTCCATTTTAAAAAATACTAATATTGTATGTGGAATCATAGAGCTTATAAGTTTTTAAGAGTTCGAACATAAACAAAGTAGGTTCCACAATAGAGAAGAAACAACCAGATGACGTTTCGAACCTTGGTCTTCGGCTAAATGAAGATTAATATATATATATATATATATATATATATATATATATATATATATATATATATATATATATATATATAAAATATAAAAATACCAATCTTTTTAATACATTTTTTACAGACCTAAAGGCTAAAACCAACATCTAAGGCGGATTCTTTAAAATATTTGTTTCACAGATTTAAAGAAACCAAGAGTTAAAATTTTAGTTTTAAGCTGAAACTTTTTTTATCCAATGACAATTGTTCTGCTTAGTTTTGTTTTCAAGCTCAAATTCATTAGATTTTAGAGTTCTGTTCATGTTAGCTCTGCTTACCTGTTTCACAAGTTACCATACCTGAACAAGATATCATACTCAATACTTATGTTTACCTGTTTTACGTATTAACATACCTGAACAAGGTATCATACTTTAAACACATATGTTTACCTGTTTTACGTCTTACCATACCTGAACAAGGTATCATACACAAACATTAGTTGACCTATTTCACGTGTTACCATACCTGTACAGGTGTCATACAGTACTGACCTACTGTGTAATATTTTCAGGTAACCACACCCAGCAATATTGTAATGTACCTGATGTGGACCCGAACCTCAACAAATGTAAGCCCGTCATTAATTGTTTTAAAAATCAATATCTTCTTAATTCATATTTTACTTGTTTATTGGCGGTATGAAATCATTGTTTACAATGCTCTGCTACAGACAAATTTAGAGTGGTGTAGCGGTAGACCGCGAGCTTGCTAACCTTAAAGTCACGATTCGAGACCGTCGGTTGTTCCAGACCGAACTGCCCCCCCCCCCCCCCACCCTCCCATGTCCAACTATGCACCTGTCTAGCGCAGTGTTTCTTCCAGACTTTTTTCTCCGGGGGGGGGGGGGGGGCACTCAAAATTTTCGGGGGGCGGTAGACTTTCTTCGGGGGGGGGGGGGGGCGGACACTATTAAAAGTATATATTTTCTTTATAAATTATATACATTTCATTTCGTTCGGGGGGGGGGGGGCGGTAGAAGAGATGCCTGGAAGAAACTCTGGTCCAAGGGTTGGTGATGTTGGTTAGAGAAATACTCGATGCTTAACACTGTTTCAGTCTGCCTGGCTAATGATAAAATGTGATCTAGTGATACAAGTGTATACAAGAGAATTTACTATTGCCTTCGCTGTGTTACTAAAAATAACTAATGTATAAATTATCACAAACCTAATAGTAAACTAGCCCCGATCCCTCCCTCCCCGACCCATCCACACCTGCAGATACACTTCGTCCCGTGTTTCTTTCAGACTTTTTATTATCCTGGGGGGGGGGGGGAGGGAGGGGCTGGCACTTAAAAATTTATGTGGGGGCGGACACTGGTAAAAGAGCACCCTGCCCCATCCCCCGAAAAGATGCCCGAAAGAAACTCTGACATTGTCACTCTAGATTAATTGACAGTGTTCAATATAAACTACTTCACTTCAAACAATGTTATTCTAGGCTGACAATGCTAAAATTCCTTTTGATATTTTTTTCCTTGACAGTCCAGCTGACGTCCATGGATTTTCCCTCAGGAGAGATGAAGATGGCAAAGAACAAAAGCTCAAAACAAGGAAATATCAACACCACACAGGGGTCAAAGGTTCAACTAGAAACCGTAAACCGAACGAAAAAATCAACCAATCACTTGGGAATGGGGAACATTACACAAGGACGCAGGGACATGACAAGTGGATTGGAGGGGACGGATGGAAGTCAACAACAAAATAAAACAAAAAAGGCAGATTGTAAGATATTATTTGTTTATTTTTCTGACTTACTTTGGCTTATTTCTTTCTGGCCCCTGGGGAGCAAAGGCTGCAACCACACCTCTCCTGGGGAGCAAAGGGCTGCAACCACACCTCTCCTGGGGAGTAAAGGGGTGCCGTCACACCTCTCCACGGGACTCAGTTTTTTGGGCAGCTCTCTTTGTTTGTACCCACGTAAGCCCGGCAGTCATTGCCTCTTCTTCTACCATTCTTCTCCGGAATTTTCTTGGTCTCTTCCCTTCTCAGAATATGTCCAATCTATCCCCATTTTCGGGCTTTAATCTTCCTTGTCAATTTGGTTTTGTTTTATGTTTCGCCACAAGTCTTTATTTTACATTTTTTTCTAGAAATATGACCTTTAGGATCTCTCATAAATGTATGTTTGTAAAAGACTCCAGCCTGTCTGTATTTGACTCGATAACCCTCCACGTCTCCAAACCGTAAAGCTATAGTGCCTTAACATTTGTGTTAAAAATTTCTTAAAACTTCTTGCTCTGGGGTTACAAGGCTGTGCAACTCCAAATCGTACGCAGTGAGTTGAAAGCACGTCCGGCCTTGTTGATACGGTTTTTATGTCCTCGTCTGTTCATGTTCTACATTTTATTATTGATGCAGTTTTTGTGGCCCTGCCTGACTTGGTTTGGTAACTCACCCAGCCACACTCGATGGAAATAATGAATTTAAGTAGCAGTTTTTTTTTCATGATGTTTAATTTTTTTCTGTTTTTGTTTTCATTTAAAGCAGAAACTATGAAGTTGTAGTCGACTTATTTTTCTTGGGCTGTTTTATTTTATTTTAATCTAGTTTTAAAGTTATTATTTTTTTAAAGCAATTTTTTTTAAAATATTAATACTTTTTAAACAGTTATCTTGGATTTTTAGTGATTAGTGTTTTTGTTTCGAAATGTAAATTTTCGTTAATTAAATCTTATCCAATTTCTCGAATCAATGCTTTCCCATTCTCCGCCAGACAAGGGAAGCGTTGACCCAGAGATCTGTATGCATCTGGATGTGACGTCACCCCGAGTCTGGGTGACCCCTGAAGGCGGCGACAGGGTCATGTGTGACACACAGACAGACGGCGGAGGTTGGATTGTCATACAGCGGAGGACGCATGGCGAAACAAATTTTAACCGCAGCTGGGAGGAGTATAAAGTTGGTTTCAGTGGGGAGAAGGGGGATGAGTTTTATATAGGGAACAAGGTGCTGGAAGCTCTTTCACGGTCGTCTGCTTTAGTCCTGAGAGTTGATCTCATACACAAACGGTTGAAGTATTTCCAGAAGTACAAGGACTTCCGGGTCTCAGACGAGGCCAGAAGTTACAGCCTGTGTGTCGTGGACTGGTCAGGGACTGCCGGTGACGGTCTGACCCCAGGGGACGACCATTGGCAGAGTGTTGTAGCCAGCGTGCCGTTTTCTACCTACGACCACCCCGGTATGTGCAGCTCAAGCGACCAGGGAGGCTGGTGGTCCAAGGGGTGTGATAGCTCCAATCTGAACGGCGAATGGAAGGGGGGCGTCCGGTGGTATCGGCTAACTTCCGGGGATGACGCCATAACGTTTACAGAGATGAAGGTACGGCCTGACACAAACTGATGTCATGTTTGAAATTTGCGCGTTTGACTTTAACGAACTAAATAATAGGCACGAAAAGCTAGTTCCAAATGGTTCCAAAATAGTTGTTGCCAGAAAGCACTATTTTCAACCAAAATGTAAAATTCACAACATTTGAAAAATAAGTACAAAATGGCTTCCAGTTTTACTAAGGCTAGACATAATATTCATAATTAAAAATAATTTTGCTAAAACTTTTATTTTTATTTGGATTAGTAGATTTACGGTGTTGTGGTGATAGGGGATGTTATATTATTTAATGTAAATAAACTACTAGGCTATACCCCATTGACCCTTATTGGGTATTTTATAATGTTGTTGTGACTTTTATTGTTTTACTCTCCCTGGCCATTCCGGTTGGCTTCAAGGAGAGGTTGAGGGCAGTTTTTTGAAAATATCTGAATTGATTAAATAATTCTAAACGGCTTTTCGATGGCTAATATTGGATAAAAATATATAAAAGTGAGTGTAACCGATGCTTCCCAAACGGCTTAAATTTTTACAAATGTAACTGTAATTTTATCGTTTGCCACATTTTAAAAAGATTTTTTCAAAAATTGTGTATGATTACAAAGACTTTTCTGGCCTATTGTTGAGGCGATTTGTGTCTTAAATCGGTGTTTGGGCAGGGTGGTGGCTGCAGACTCTGTGTCTTCTGGACTGACTGCTGCAATTATGTTTTCTCCGGGTCTGGGGTGTTTCTTTTTTCCTCTTTGTGGTTGTTGTTGTCAGTGTTTCTTCCAGACTTTTTTCTCCGGAGGGGGGCACTTAATATTTTCATATTTTCGAGGGGGGGGGGGGGCGGACAACATTTTACGGGGGGGGGGGGGCACTTAATATTTTCATATTTTTGAGGGGGGGCGGACAACATTTTCCGGGGGGGGGGGGAGAGGGGGCGGGCACTGGTAAAAGTATCTGTTTTCTATATAAATTCCATTTCTTTCGGGGGGGGGGGCTAGAAAAATTCTAGAACAACACAAATTCAACACATTATTTTAAGACAACATAGTATCTTCACATCATGGATCAAAAGCATCAGCATAATAACATCAGTGATCTGCTATATTATAATTAACTTAGAAGATATTTTTATGTTATAACACCTAAGTAAAATAGAAACAATCAATTTAAAATATCAACGTTATCATGTTACATCAAAAATTAGTCATACAAAAATAATTAATTTTAAGTACATTATCTCTGGAATAAAGGTTATGCCATAAACGTATCAACTTAAAAGACATTGATATTACAAACCATAATCTTATAATCTATTATTAAGTCAAACAAAACTCCTAAGTGTACAATCAGCTTGTTTAATAAACATAGATTGAATGTACTGCTAGAGAACACAAACATGTGCTTACAATAGCGCGGTAAATAGTACTTTATATTAAAAAATTTAATTGAATCATATAAATTAACCAGGCATACAATTAAGTCAATTTAATGTCCGGTTGCATTCTCACTTGTGGACTTGACCCACGTGCCATATTTAAAACGAATTGGTCTGTTAGAAGTGGTCGAAATTTCACTCGCCAGTGTCGATAAATGACGAAGCATTAAACGCTAAGCACGACAAACAGAGGAAGCAATTTAAATAAAAGCTTGTGAATACTTATTTATTTTTCAAATGAATATCTCGAAGAAAGATTTACATAGTTTACTTATACTTTAACTAAAGTAAATAAGCCCATTTTGAGCATACAAATCTCTACTCACCTTAACTTGATCAATTATTATTCATGGAGCCAAAGAGATTTTTTTTAGTTTACTTTTTATATCCGACTTCAGTTTTTTAGCCTTTTCATCAAACGGTTCCTCTAATATTGATACAAGTATATATATATATATATATATATATATATATATATATATATATATATATATATATATATATATATATATATATATATATATATATTGATTCATTCGTTCATTTGTTTATTTGTTCATTCGTACAGTCGAAAATTTATTTAAGATATTTTCAATAAAACAATTCAATTTGTGTAAAGGCACTGCTTATATAACCAATTAATAGCTGCTGTTTTATACAAAAATAGAACTCATTAAACCTAGATTAGTTACTTACGCGTGAAGTCAAGATAAAGTTCTGAACCAATCAGAAAGTCCAGCCACCCCTGAGGTTTGTAGCCTCGTTCCAATATTAACGGGATTATTTTCCTTTTTTTCTTGTACGCGTATTCAGCTTCTAGATGATTGCGAAAATTTTCAATTGATTAAAATAAAATACATGTTTTTAAAAACGTCCCTAAAAGAGTTTAGTACAAATATATTCACGTCATCACAATTGTGGGAAAACTATTTTTATATTTACACCATCACATAGCCTGACACACGTTGGTGGTTTTAATGAGCAATTAGCATGATTACTGTTTTACCTGAACGACAGTTCTGACTGTTGAAGTAGCTCTCCGACATGCAGATCAGTATTAGATCAGAACCTAGAATTCCTTCTGCCATCGCTTCCAGTGTCGAGCCCTCCATATTGACTTCATCAAACCAGAGACTTATGCCAGCTTCATCAAGCTCATCTCGAATCTAAAACGGTTTAAAACGGTCCGAATAAACTTGAACAGTATAACAATATTATCATCATCCACCGCTGTCAATAATAATTATTTAAATAATATTGTTTCGATTTGTTATCAGAAGAATATGTGACTACAATAAAATAGCAATTAGTAGCGAATTAAACTATGAGCAAACAATGCAATTGCATCTTACCTACCCTTGAGTTTAAAATATAATTTCTATTTCTGTCGGAACAAGTAATTAGTTTATAATATCTCCAAAATAAAGCTATACATTTGAAATGAATGCTGATGGATAAATTTCATACATGAATCCATCACAAGGGATACTTGTCACGTAGACAAAACCTTTCATTGACAACCTAAGTAACACGCTCATCAAAATTAGACTAGATGTGAATATTTCAAGCCTCTATATAGTTCGGTTTAATTTGTCAATCCCATACAAAAAAAATGTATTTGATCACATCACAATAGTTGGACTCAATTTGTTCGAAATAATTAATTTCAAGCAGGCCATTAAAATAAAACTTACAGACAATAAATACTTCAACCTAATTATGATAATGTCTGTTAGAACAAAATGCTATTCACTTACGAGTGATTCGACTAAGAAAATATTTCATAAACTTAAAATATGTATTTTTTTAAATTTTTCGTATACAGAGTATAATGGAAATATTGTAATCGTGTAAAAAATAGAATTTAGACCTCCCTGAATATGTGTACACAATAACTTGAGTACTGTTACAGATAGGTTGACGAAATTTCATATTAAATTTGTATATAAATTTGGAGTTCTGCATCAGATTCTCGGCGATTTCAAAAGCCTATAACTTGAGTGCTGTTTCTGATAGATCTATGCTTTTTCACATATCAGTAAAAGGTCTAATTCTCTATTGTTTTTTTTTCCAAATTTTGAGTAATTTTGTGAAAATTTTGATTTCAATTTTTTTGCACGATTACAATACTCCCTCTATACTTCGTATACGAGTAAGTAATGATAAAAAAACCTGAGATAATTTTAACGGATGTATGCGAGATAAGTCGGCCGATAGGTGCAAATGCCCTTTACAATGTACAGTAATCTCAACAACACTTAGTTCTAGTAACCCTATATCTAATTTATGCCTACACTTTTTTTTACTTATGTCTGCCTACTGACATAAATGTCACCAGTGTTTCTTTCAGACATTTCTCTCAGGCGAGAGGACTCAAAACTTATAGGTGAGGTAGGGGGACTTGGTTAAAGTATGTATTCTCTATATAATTTTTTTTTCTTTTTCGCCTGGGTGGACGTGCTCACACACAAATGCTCGCGCGTACACACACAACTAAAAGAAACTCTGAATGATCAACGTCTATCTAATAACTATAGCTAAACACTAAATCTAATGTTCGTTTGACTTTGTTCTCTTTCTTTAGGAATACACATATGTGCCCAATACCTTGAGTACGATTTCTTTTTGAGCCCAGCTGTAGCTGATCATCACACGCCCACCTGCGTGGCTTCTGGAATTTGTTTTGGCTGGCAAGCAAAAAATCATTACAAAAATGCAGCGTTTATTATTTTTATTTGTTTTAGTTAATTGGTCGGGGTACGTTACCATTGCCTTTTTTCAAGGAATGCCCACACACAGTCTCCAAAACTGGAGAGTTGATTTTTAAATTTCAGGATAGAAGTGAATGGAAAATAAGAACAAATCACACTCGGCGTTTTCGAGTCGGTAAAGCTCAATGTTGCTAAACCGAAAAGTCTCGAGTTCGAACCTTCGGGCAGATGAGGCTTGTTAGCTGGGGACAGCCACTCTACTAGGAGAAACAACTCCAAAATTAAACAACTGCTGTCTTGTAGTTTGTTCTTGGTTGGATAATGGCTATGGAAGCAAATCCAAAAAGAAAAGTAGGCTGAAATCGGAGTCAATGGCCACAATGGCGCATAACCAGTTGACATGTATCCTTAATTGTGTTGGAGGGGGATCCCTTCCAACACTAAAATTAAGAACGAAGAAGAAGAAGAAGACAGATCTTAGAATAGTTAAATGAATGTTTTCCCGTGGAATATTTTTAATCATTGATATAGACAGAATCAAAGTGCTTAGAAATCCAGATTGCTCATACTAGAGATTGCATAATTCCTGAAATCATCCGTTCACAACATGTAAACAGCGCGAACTAAGAAAGTAGTTCTTTATCCCATAAGGAAATAGTTCTTCATCCCACACAAAAAATTGTTCTTCATCCCATAAGGAAATAGTTCTTCATCCCATAAGAAAATAGTTCTTCATCCCATAAGAAAATAGTTCTTCATCCCATAAGAAAATAGTTCTTCATCCCATAAGAAAATAGTTCTTCATCCCATAAGAAAATAGTTCTTCATCCCATAAGAAAATAGTTCTTCATCCCATAAGAAAATAATTCTTCATCCCATAAGAAAATAGTTCTTCATCCCATAAGAAAATAGTTCTTCATCCCATAAGAAAATAGTTCTTCATCCCATAAGAAAATAGTTCTTCATCCCATAAGAAAATAGTTCTTCATCCCATAAGAAAATAGTTCTTCATCCCATAAGAAAATAGTTCTTCATCCCATAAGATGTTTTACCTGATCTTATTCTATCTGATATCTCGTTGATCTCCCACAGAACGCCCTTTGCAGCTCTTTCTATGACTTCATTTTTACTTTTAGATAGTTGTTTGGTAGAAGAAATTTAATATTTTTAGAATCAAGTTTTAGAATCAAGTTGCAGATCCAGAGAATTTGAAAATAATTTGTTGAGTTTAAGGCTACATTTGTATTTATTTTCATCAAGCCTAAGTTATAACCCGATGTTTCACTTTCGTAAGACAAACATTGATCGGCTGTACAGGAACTCCGTGATCGATTTTTGACAGCCCCACTTTATAGTTTTTTTGTTTACAAAACTTTGCAGATCAAGTTTTTAAATAACAATGCAAATTTAAACAATATGACCTAGTTTTTCTTTATTTAGCTTACAATGTGTACAATAAATTATGGCGGCCTATCGAATAGCAGGATGCCATTTTTTTATGTCGCCATCACACGTGAAAACCAAATTGTTTTTGCTTTTTTTTTAAAATTTTTATTTAGTTACCGAAAATATTAAAAACATCAGATACATCCAATCTTTAGTAAAGTCCGAAAAAAACTAGACAGGCAGGATGTTATAACCATATTAATTGTAACTAATTTATGAACCTCTCAAATACCTTTGAGACTTTTCTCGCTGGTGTCCATTGAATAGGCAAGATTTACAGGGGAGAAAACCCCATCAAATGCACTGTGAACGAACCAGTAATTACTTTGTTGAGTTTGAAAATACTTTGACCCGATTGTAAACCGTACACTGGTCATGTAAGTTTGGATTATATCAGACGTAGAGCTTTAACATCCCAAGGTAACTGTATTGTAGAGCTAAATATTTGTAAAATTTAAAAAAAACAACACAAAGCACAGTTTGGCCATACTAACTTTGCTGCTTGCGTCCGCTACTCACTCAGAAATACATCGAGCTTTTATGCAATTTTAAGATCTTTTTTGAGAATATACATATAATTTTAACATACAGCTTCAATTTTAATATAGTTTTTAGCGCAATTTCCATACTGGGGGATTGCGATTATTAACTCGTCATTTCTGGATGGATGGATGGATGTGTGTCCGCAGCTTTACCGAAGCAATATCGAGGACTAGTTCCAAAGCAAATATGCTAAGCAAGTTCCGAGGATGAACATAGGTCAAAAAACATCCCGGAATTCCTTCCTGCATTTCCCGGAAAAGCCAAAAAACCTCGAAAAAATGCAGTTTTTGGTCCATATCTCGGCAACCAGACCACTTAGCGACTTGAAACATTTACCAATCGATTCCTGCCATAATTTAGAACAATATTGCCGAAGAAAGTTTTCAAAAATATATTTCGTTCGGTCACAAATTTTTTTAAAAAATTACATAAACACCTACAAAACGATCGTTCTCCTAGCTTGAACGCACCCCAGCATTGTACGTCTTGTGTTTTGTCCCCGTGTGTGCTTTACGCTACGACAGAGCTATTTTTAGATAACGTAAGGAAATTGCGCTTAAATTGTCACTAGACTTTTTATTAACTTGTTTTTTAAATGTATAAATCCTAACTATTCTTCAAAAACAATTGAAAGCAAAATTGCCCACTCAAAAACTGGAATTGAATCGGACACTGGTAAAAGTATACATTTTCTATACAAACTCTATTTCGAAGAGATGCATGAAAGAAACACAGGTTAACGGAAAAATGCAAAAACCGGAATTCTATAGAATTCACGAAAAGATTCGGCGAAGCACAAAATAAATTAGATTTCATAGTTTGCCCAGGCAAAATATGTGATAAATATATTGTAAGCATTTCCTACTTTGAATAAAAACCGCACGCATTAAACATACAATAAAATTCCTGCACTTCACACATTACCGGTCCATGTATATAGACTAAGATTGTAATGTGTTATATGTTATGAAGAGGGGAGCCAAGAGTATAGGTCTACTACTGACTGACACTTGTAACCTGATTGCAGTTAAGACCTGGGATAAATAAGGACATAACTAGGATTTAACAAGAAACATATTATTACGATAATGCACATAGTTTTATTTACCTTTAGGTTTTACGTTTGGTTTGAGCTGTTTAAAAGCAAAAACGCCTTTCATTGCTGTAGCAGTTCCTGCCAACGAACTTTTATAGTTCGCATACATGATGACTCTTTTTCTCTCGCTGTAAGGAGCAAATTGTAGATTTTGTTATTATTTTAATTTGCATTAACATGCATTGTGACTTTAAATTTAAATTCATAAAGTCATCATGTCGATTTAAGTTGATAAAAGGAAGGTCGACGTTTCTCTGCTCTCCAAGTGTGGTAAAGTCGTGGATGTTAATGAAAACAAAGATATGTCGACTTACTTTTTATCCTCATATGAAAATTTACACAGAAAATTTTACAGTACACGCCATATTAAAAAATCTTCTGAGGTTGATTTCTAAAAGTTTACCTATTTATATGTCTGTGCAAGCGCATAACGAAACAGTCAGTCGAGTATGTACATGGCGGCAACCGGTTAAAAGGTTACGAATTCCGGTTTTGACGTGATTCCCCCAGCCCAAACAAGCTTTACATTTTTTTACAGTATCGAATATATGTTGATTCGTACATTGATCGATAAAGAATAAGTCATTCATTTTATGAATATTAAGTTAAGCTTTACACTTGCTTTGATATACGTTTAGCGTTTTATTATATATATATATATATATATATATATATATATATATATATATATATATATATATATATATATATATATATATATATATATATATACATATATATATATATATATATTTTTTCTATCTATATATATTAAGTAATGTGTGTGTGTTTGTCCATTTGTATGTCTTTATGCATTACTACACCTTTCATGAGATCGCCTTGAAACTGGGGAAGTTGTTGAGAATACTCCTGGGGAGGTATCTGCCCAAAAAATTCAATTTCGCACTGGCGACGCCTCAGCAATGTGCGATTTGGCGCCTCGGGCTATCACGTGAGCGCTATGGCACCAATGTTCGTTTTAAACAGTAAGATAGACTATGCATAAGATGGTGTATTAGAGTCATTCACCAAATTGAATCGGGCGTGTGCAAAATTTCAGCTAAATATCTCAAGTATTGTTTGAGTTATAGTGATTTAACTGGTAAGATTTTGTTAAAAAGTATCATTTTGAGAAAAACGCTACTATGTGAAAAATATACTAAAATTGGAAAAAAACGAGAAAAAAATGAAAACTATACAAAAAAAGTCATTTTTAAAACCTCACAGTTACATAAATTGCATCTGGAGCCTCTTACATAACAATATGAACATCGTTTTAAGTTAGTTTTTAATTTTTATGTTGCCAAATGTTGCTTAATGTAGGTGCATTACGTTATTACTCTAATTAATAAAAAAAAAACTAGCAATACGTAACTAGGCAAAATAATAATACAATAATGTTCAGAATTGTATGTAGTTTCAGAAACAATAGAATTTGAAAAAATCAACATTTCTGACTTAAATATGTAATATGGGGGGTTTAACCTGCCCTTAACAAGTGAAATGTTGAGCTAGAAACTAGATATCGTATTTAAAGATTTGAATCTGAAATTATTTTTTTTATTTTTTTTTATTTTTTTTTTTTTATGGAGAGATGCTAGACAAAAAGTTATAACTTCAAGGGTGAGAACTTTGAAGTTTTAAGATAAATATCAAGGCTAATTTAAATATTAAAGTTACATGATTGTTAAACAATAATTAAGATCGAAATAGTGTTAATGATTGGAATTTGAGATTTAGGCACTTGTTAGAACTTTATTGTTTGAAAAGGTTAAGTTAAATTTAATTTTATAATTGTATTACTTTATAATTATTTTAATTATTTTATAATTATTTTATAGTTGCATTAGACACAACATTCTACAACAATTTGTTACATTATATGAATCTAAACAGAAATATGCAACCGTTTTGTTTTATATGTGTGCAGATCAGTGGCGGAACTAGAAAAAATGGGCCACCCCGCAAAAAAATTTTTTGGGCCCCCCATATATATATATATATATATATATATATATATATATATATATATATATATATATATATATATATATATATATATATAACAAGGTTCGCTCTCAATTTTAAAAAAATTCCATCTGGTACACGATTAAATCAGAGGTTTTCCAACACACGAGCTGGCCCCTTTCTAAATCTAGTCCAACACACCAAACTGAGGCTTTCATCAAAACGTTACTAACCGTGTGCCCTGTTTTCCAGAAGTTGAATTAAATGTTAACAATGTCGGCAGTTCATTTCTTGGATCTTAGGGCGCGGGTTTGTCCACACTACCAACTAGACACGCCAAGGCATGCTGTAAATCCCTCTGCGACGGCCCAGGTGTCAGGGGAGTCACGGGGCTCTTGGAGCTACCGGTTACATTACTGCACGGGTGATGGGTGTGACACATTGTTTCTTCCGGCAGAGCTCCCCCCCCCCCCTCCCCTCCCCCGAAAACAGTCTACCCTGGAAGAAACATTGGTGCGACACCTAATTAGATTTAGTCATCGAGTGTTGTAGCGAGACTTATTCCTAGTGTTGTGGGAACTTTTAAACGACTGTCTGTGGGGGCCAACTTGCTCATATGTGATGCGCTCAGGATGACACTGACGCCGGTTGTATTCAAGTAGTAACCTCATCCGCTTATGCAGGATCACGGGGCGCTAAATCACATATTTCCGTTAGGAGTCCCCACTCAAATATGTACAAATGTTAGGCCTATGACAGAAACCTTTGCGGGGCTGTACTCAACAGCTTCCCAAGTTTTCATGGCGATTGGGTGAATGATGCAGTCAGGGGCGGAACTACAGTGCCGCCAGACCCCGCAATGCGGGGGGGCCCAGACCAACTGGGGGCCCAAAAATCCTGGCTAAATTATTTTTAAAAAATTTAAAAAAAAAAAAAATAGGTGGAGGTCGAGTTATCTTTCTTCTACAGTTACAAACAAACACGATAGTCGGCAAACGTCTTTGAGAAAAATGCACTGACTATAGCTCGAGAGACCGCCAGACATATAGACAACTTCAAAGACGAAGCATCTGAAATTTGACTGTGCCGGTACGCTTTGAAATCGGGCTGGGGAAATGTTGCGGCGAGGCGACTATCCTGGTCTTCTAGACGATCGGAAAAAGTCGGCACTATTGATGTAGATGTTTATCGGCGCTTTCTTGTCCCCTTCCCTTCCCAACTCTCTCCCCCCCTCCCCCCTACCCCTCACTTCTACCCCTCACCACACCCTTACTCTTACAATAAGATGTAATGCATAGATTAACGAACCGTCTATGAACTGTAAACTGACCACTTCTGCACATTTTGTTAAAGACACTAGTCAGTAGTTGTTCATTTACCTGATGAACAGGGGCGGAACTACAGTCCCGCCAGAACCCGCAATGCGCGGGGGGGGGAGGCCGTTTAGGGGCCCACGGCTGACCAAATTTTTTTTTTTTTTAATTTTGAATTTAATTTTTGCCTTAATATTTGGTTTGTAAAAGAAAAACACTGTAGCTGCGGTACGATTATCTTTATTTTACAGTCACTATACCACGCTCTTTCGCAAAAGATAAAATCCATTACACAAACTACAGTGTAAAATATAGGCAACTCTTCAAATTTTGAATGACTTCTTTGACTCGTTGCCCCCCCCCTCCCTTTGATAGCTAAATAGAGGACACGTAACTGTTTGACCGATCCTCCAAAGTATACTGTGGCGGATAGGGCAGGGGATGGGGACCAAAAAGGGGGTTAAAAAATTGTCGACAAATTCTTTACATATTTAAAACAGTTATTTATAGTTGTATTTTTTAACCATCGTCAAGGCCGAGTTCTATTTCCCTACAATCAAACACACGCTGTCGCCGGCAAAATTCTTTTTAAAAAAAACAACAAAGTCCATAGCACGAAAAGCCGCTACATATGAAGTGGGCTTTCAATACTTTCATGATGCGCGGTTCGTTTTTGCGGCATTGGTCGGGGACCCGAAATCCATTGTACATTTTTCAATGTTAATATGTGTTTGTGATAGTGGTTGAATTTGTATCCTGTACTATCTTGTATCGTACAAATAATTTAAAAAAAATAATATAATACTAGAAACTTCAGTTTTATATACGTTTACTTGTTTTTGATTTTACAAGAAATATAGTAAACTTTTAAGGCCTATACTTCAAATTATCTCCCCTGAGTAAGTTTTACAATGGGCGATGCTGACGTACATAGATCAAGGCGTTTTGTTGTCCCTTTCAAGTTTTTTCCCGAGCCGACCCCTATCCCATCCCTCTTTCTCAACCTCACAAGTATCGAGGAGATAAATGTATCGTTTATGAACTACTTCCTAACCGTACGATTCACCACTTCAGCACATTTTGTCAGACACTAGACAGCACTAGATCTAGTCAACACATATTAATTTACTTTCATAGTATTAGGCACATCTAATTCACAAAACAGGGCAGGTAAGATTATTTTTTATATAATTATTTAGAAATTAATTAGAACGTTTAGAATTAATTGAACATTATTAATAGTCATTGAGGTGGGGGTGTGTGAGGGTCTGGCTTTTTGTTAATCCCCCCCTCCCCTAAATCAGAAGGTTATCCAACGCGTGACCTGGCCACATACAGTTGTACATGTGAAAAACATTTTTCTCTCTAATATTATTATGCATTACTGCATCATTCACCCAATCGCCATGAAAACTTGGGAAGCTGTTGAGTACAGCCCCGCAAAGGTTTCTGTCATAGGCCTAACATTTGTACATATTTGAGTGGGGACTCCTAACGGAAATATGTGATTTAGCGCCCCGTGATCCTGCATAAGCGGATGAGGTTACTACTTGAATACAACCGGCGTCAGTGTCATCCTGAGCGCATCACATATGAGCAAGTTGGCCCCCACAGACAGTCGTTTAAAAGTTCCCACAACACTAGGAATAAGTCTCGCTACAACACTCGATGACTAAATCTAATTAGGTGTCGCACCAATGTTTCTTCCAGGGTAGACTGTTTTCGGGGGAGGGGAGGGGGGGGGGAGCTCTGCCGGAAGAAACAATGTGTCACACCCATCACCCGTGCAGTAATGTAACCGGTAGCTCCAAGAGCCCCGTGACTCCCCTGACACCTGGGCCGTCGCAGAGGGATTTACAGCATGCCTTGGCGTGTCTAGTTGGTAGTGTGGACAAACCCGCGCCCTAAGATCCAAGAAATGAACTGCCGACATTGTTAACATTTAATTCAACTTCTGGAAAACAGGGCACACGGTTAGTAACGTTTTGATGAAAGCCTCAGTTTGGTGTGTTGGACTAGATTTAGAAAGGGGCCAGCTCGTGTGTTGGAAAACCTCTGATTTATTCGTGTACCAGATGGAATTTTTTTAAAATTGAGAGCGAACCTTGTTATATATATATATATATATATATATATATATATATATATATATATATATATATATATATATATATATATGGGGGGCCCAAAAAATTTTTTTGCGGGGTGGCCCATTTTTTCTAGTTCCGCCACTGGATGCAGTAATGCATAATAATATTAGAGAGAAAAATGTTTTTCACATGTACAACTGTATGTGGCCAGGTCACGCGTTGGATAACCTTCTGATTTAGGGGAGGGGGGGGGGATTAACAAAAAGCCAGACCCTCACACACCCCCACCTCAATGACTATTAATAATGTTCAATTAATTCTAAACGTTCTAATTAATTTCTAAATAATTATATAAAAAATAATCTTACCTGCCCTGTTTTGTGAATTAGATGTGCCTAATACTATGAAAGTAAATTAATATGTGTTGACTAGATCTAGTGCTGTCTAGTGTCTGACAAAATGTGCTGAAGTGGTGAATCGTACGGTTAGGAAGTAGTTCATAAACGATACATTTATCTCCTCGATACTTGTGAGGTTGAGAAAGAGGGATGGGATAGGGGTCGGCTCGGGAAAAAAACTTGAAAGGGACAACAAAACGCCTTGATCTATGTACGTCAGCATCGCCCATTGTAAAACTTACTCAGGGGAGATAATTTGAAGTATAGGCCTTAAAAGTTTACTATATTTCTTGTAAAATCAAAAACAAGTAAACGTATATAAAACTGAAGTTTCTAGTATTATATTATTTTTTTAAATTATTTGTACGATACAAGATAGTACAGGATACAAATTCAACCACTATCACAAACACATATTAACATTGAAAAATGTACAATGGATTTCGGGTCCCCGACCAATGCCGCAAAAACGAACCGCGCATCATGAAAGTATTGAAAGCCCACTTCATATGTAGCGGCTTTTCGTGCTATGGACTTTGTTGTTTTTTTTTAAAAAGAATTTTGCCGGCGACAGCGTGTGTTTGATTGTAGGGAAATAGAACTCGGCCTTGACGATGGTTAAAAAATACAACTATAAATAACTGTTTTAAATATGTAAAGAATTTGTCGACAATTTTTTAACCCCCTTTTTGGTCCCCATCCCCTGCCCCATCCGCCACAGTATACTTTGGAGGATCGGTCAAACAGTTACGTGTCCTCTATTTAGCTATCAAAGGGAGGGGGGGGGGGGCAACGAGTCAAAGAAGTCATTCAAAATTTGAAGAGTTGCCTATATTTTACACTGTAGTTTGTGTAATGGATTTTATCTTTTGCGGAAGAGCGTGGTATAGTGACTGTAAAATAAAGATAATCGTACCGCAGCTACAGTGTTTTTCTTTTACAAACCAAATATTAAGGCAAAAATTAAATTCAAAATTAAAAAAAAAAAAATTTGGTCAGCCGTGGGCCCCTAAACGGCCTCCCCCCCCCCCCCCCCCCCCCCCCGCGCATTGCGGGTTCTGGCGGGACTGTAGTTCCGCCCCTGTTCATCAGGTAAATGAACAACTACTGACTAGTGTCTTTAACAAAATGTGCAGAAGTGGTCAGTTTACAGTTCATAGACGGTTCGTTAATCTATGCATTACATCTTATTGTAAGAGTAAGGGTGTGGTGAGGGGTAGAAGTGAGGGGTAGGGGGGAGGGGGGGGAGAGAGTTGGGAAGGGAAGGGGACAAGAAAGCGCCGATAAACATCTACATCAATAGTGCCGACTTTTTCCGATCGTCTAGAAGACCAGGATAGTCGCCTCGCCGCAACATTTCCCCAGCCCGATTTCAAAGCGTACCGGCACAGTCAAATTTCAGATGCTTCGTCTTTGAAGTTGTCTATATGTCTGGCGGTCTCTCGAGCTATAGTCAGTGCATTTTTCTCAAAGACGTTTGCCGATTATCGTGTTTGTTTGTAACTGTAGAAGAAAGATAACTCGACCTCCACCTAATTTTTTTTTTTTTTTAATTTTTTAAAAATAATTTAGCCAGGATTTTTGGGCCCCCAGTTGGTCTGGGCCCCCCCCCCCCCCGCATTGCGGGGTCTGGCGGCACTGTAGTTCCGCCCCTGGTGCAGATGCAGCTCTTTTATTTATTTGAATGTAGTAACTGCTGTAGTACGTATACTTTGTATCAAGAATGTATTTTACCTTCTTTACAAAGATTTTCTCTGCACGGTATTTTGGCTGCTCAAATGGTACAACAAATGTTGTAACATGATCCAAATGTATTACCTGCATATAGCACCAGAGATCGAATCAAGTCTTGTCGCAGTGTGCTCCGTATTTCATGCAACTGTTGCCTACGTGCTAACGTCATGCTCCAAGAAGAACGCTTAGAGTGTTTTTCTCTCAAGGTCAAATTATTTCTAGCTGCATTCGTTATTGATTTATTTAAACCATTAACGCAGATCAATAAGCAAATAAATTTTGTTTGTAAGTAACTGAATAAATAAACCGGGAGTGATCTCCCCTAAACTTTCTCGAATATCCTTATATAACAGACTGAGAATTGTTGTTGTTCTTAAGTAGTCCGCCATTATGGCGCGGGCATTAATTTGGTTACCTTTATTTAGTGCTGCTTTGTGTATCTCGTTTATATTTTGTGGTATTATTTATTATATTTATGCCAGGTTTGTTTTAGTGTATGGTTCCGCTATAGTTCGTGTCGTGTTGTTGGTTATTGTTGTATTTGGGACTATCTTCTTGTGCCTAGCATGCGGTGTGTGGGTGTACTTTGGCTTAGAATTTCATTTTGTTCGTGTACGTGGTGGCACAGGAAGGGACATTCTGTGGGAATGTCGATGCCTGTGTGAGATGGTTCAGTAGCTCAATTACGCGCCAAAATTTGCAACTTAAAATTTCTCGTCCATTCAAAATGCTACTAATATGTGAAGAATAGAAAAAAAAACCTGTGAAATAGTGTATGCTTTTATTGTAAACAAGGTTAGATCTAAAAGCAAGTGTTTAAAAGATCAAATTTTGATCAAAACACGTGTACACAAGATATAAGCATGAGAACACAAGATTAAACAAGTGTACACAAATCTCGCATTATTAGAGCACATGTAGTTAGAAATCAGCCAAAATAAACCACAATATTTAAAAAAGCGTCAAGATTTGTAGCTCTGGCTACAAACAGCAAAACACACGCTGGTTAAAAGAATGTTTACATTGGTCCTCTGAGCTTTAGATTAGTGTTTTAGTTGGTTGGCTATCTGAGACTTGAGTTCTTTCATCTTGGCATCAAATGGATGTTTCCCTGATCATTAATCATAATAAAATCTATTAATAAGGGTGCAAATATAAGAAGACGATAAATAACTAACCATATTCTTCAATGTAACTAAATAAACATATCACGTAAGTGACATTGAACTGTCATTGCATAGAGACAGTTAATATTATAGCAAACAGAAAACATGGGATGTAAAGCGTTAAATATTTTCTTAAACTTCATCGATACTAAAATGTCAACCCAAAAAGTGTAGATTTACTGGAGAAGTCTACAGTATTTACTTGAGAAGTCTACATACAGATGTGTAGATTTACCTGAGAAGTCTACATGATTTATCTGAGAAGTCTACATGATTTACCTGAGAAGTCTACATGATTTACCTGAGAAGTCTACATGATTTACCTGAGAAGTCTACATACAGATGTGTAGATTTACCTGAGAAGTCTACATGATTTACCTGAGAAGTCTACATGATTTACCTGAGAAGTCTACATACAGATGTGTAGATTTACCTGAGAAGTCTACATGATTTACCTGAGAAGTCTACATACAGACGTGGAGATTACCTGAGAAGTCTACATACAGATGTGTAGATTTACCTGAGAAGTCTATATACAGATGTGTAGATTTACCTGAGAAGTCTATATACAGATGTGTAGATTTACCTGAGAAGTCTATATACAGATGTGTAGATTTACCTGAGAAGTCTATATACAGATGTGTAGATTTACCTGAGAAGTCTATATACAGATGTGTAGATTTACCTGAGAAGTCTATATACAGATGTGTAGATTTACCTGAGAAGTCTATATACAGATGTGTAGATTTACCTGAGAAGTCTATATACAGAAGTGTAGATTTACCTGAGAAGTCTATATACAGATGTGTAGATTTACCTGAGAAGTCTATATACAGATGTGTAGATTTACCTGAGAAGTCTATATACAGATGTGTAGATTTACCTCAGAAGTCTATATACAGATGTGTAGATTTACCTGAGAAGTCTATATACAGATGTGTAGATTTACCTGAGAAGTCTATATACAGATGTGTAGATTTACCTGAGAAGTCTATATACAGATGTGTAGATTTACTTGAGAAGTCTATATACAGATGTGTAGATTTACCTGAGAAGTCTATATACAGATGTGTAGATTTAACTGAGAAGTCTATATACAGATGTGTAGATTTACCTGAGAAGTCTAAATACAGATGTGTAGATTTACCTGAGAAGTCTATATACAGATGTGTAGATTTACCTGAGAAGTCTATATACAGATGTGTAGATTTACCTGAGAAGTCTATATACAGATGTGTAGATTTACTTGAGAAGTCTATATACAGATGTGTAGATTTACCTGAGAAGTCTATATACAGATGTGTAGATTTACCTGAGAAGTCTATATACAGATGTGTAGATTTACTTGAGAAGTCTATATACAGATGTGTAGATTTACCTGAGAAGTCTATATACAGATGTGTAGATTTACCTGAGAAGTCTATATGTCTATATACAGATGTGTAGATTTACCTGAGAAGTCTATATACAGATGTGTAGATTTACCTGAGAAGTCTATATACAGATGTGTAGATTTACCTCAGAAGTCTATATACAGATGTGTAGATTTACCTGAGAAGTCTATATACAGATGTGTAGATTTACTTGAGAAGTCTATATACAGATGTGTAGATTTACTTGAGAAGTCTATATACAGATGTGTAGATTTACCTGAGAAGTCTATATACAGATGTGTAGATTTACCTGAGAAGTCTATATACAAGCGAGAGCCGAGAATAATGCCCAACCATTTCTTCGCGGAGTATCCTTGTTGCATCAGTAAAGGAATGATCGGTTTGTTTTCTTTGTACATGTATTCAGCCTCTGGGTAATTGGATTAAAGAAAAATGTATATCTTTAACCGCTATCTACAACTTTTACTAGAATAGAAAAACCAATTGAAAACTAGTTTCTGTGTAAAGACTATCTACAACTATTACTAGAACAGAAAAACCAAACTACCTGCGCGACAGTTCCGGCTGTTGAAGTAGTTCTCCGAGTAACACATGAGCACCAGCTTAGCGTCCTCTATTGCCTCGGCCATCGCCTGCAGTGTCGAGCCCTCCATATTCTCCACGTCTATCCAAAGTTTATGACCAGCTTTTTGAAGTTCGTCTCGAATCTACGAAACAAAATCTATTTTAGAAATACAACGCCATTTTGGAAAAATGATTTTGTGTCTTTTCAATAGGAAAAAAATCTTCAGTAACTTGATTTCAGTGTATATTGAATCTAGTGGACATAAGAAAAAAAAAACAACGTCGTAAGTACAATCTGTCACTTTTAAAAAAAAAAATCAGTTGTTGCCCATAGCTCGCTAATAAAGAGTCAATTTACAGTACTTCACAAATTTGTGTTTTAAAAGGTTTACTTTAAATTTAACTATATTTTTAACAAAAAAAAATAATTAAAATCCTAATAATAGCAAATACGATATTTAAAAACATAAAATCCAGAGTATAAGTCATTTATTAAAAAATAATGTCATGGCAAATACAATATTTCACTGGTTGATAGCATTAACCAAACGTGAAACATCAGTACAAGCAACCAATTACACAATGTTTTTATTTCTTCATTCTCCCGTGGCTACACACCAGTCATCTACTTTACACTTTGTCCTCATTCCCAAATGTCGTTAATGATTTGTTCTAACCAAATCCTCCCAAACTGACGTTGACACCATCTTTAAACCCACATTCGACCCTAAGGCAAATATCACAACAACAGGGGACTAAACACAACTCACACAATCACAATCCCAGGGGATCTAAATATTAACTATTTCTATCAATAAATTCATCAATTAATCATCACATAAACCGTGGGGTGGGAGAGGGGGGAGGGGCGATGGACAACTAAAGCTGATTTGTTCATAATAATTTCTAGCTTTGCCCTAAAAGTGGTGAGTGACAACGGGATTAGGGTGAGGATTAGCGTGAGTATTTATCCCACAACCCTAACGTAAAACACGCATGGCTTACCTTGAACACTGTCTCTTTCTGTGCCCAGCAGTAGCTGATCATGATGTGACCTTCTGGCTGACTCCTGGCGCCCGGTACAGCTAGCATTGGGGGAATAAAAACATTTTAAAATGTTATATCGGATACTTCAAAATTGTGTATAGGTAGGAGTGGCTGTGTGGTAGAGCGCTCGACAGCTAACCCAAAAGTCTAGAGTTCAGATGTCTAGCTTGAGTCTGTTGAATTCACCTGAGACCATTTCTGGAGGGTACCTGACATATAGATCTAGATGAAATCGTTCTTCACCTACTCTACAAACTATCCCTTCATAATCCGTGGTCTAGAAGCATGTTTACTTCATCTACTATATAGTCCGGCATGAAGACATTAAACAAATCCCACACATTCTATTTTTAACTAATATCTATCTTGTATATTAAAGTTACAACCAGGTGAGAATTTTTTTTACCTGAGCTGGCCCTGATGGACGTTTCTTTAATCTCCCACAAGACACCTTTAGCCGCTATTTCTATTTCCTTGTTCTTGTGCTTAGACAGATTGTCCAAAATGGGTGTCATTTGTTTCATTTCCTTTAGGAACCATGGCAAAATGAAACAAATTAGAAAAAAAACCCACAAAAACTATACCCCATCCCTAAAATGACGTCAAACCTCAGCCTACAACCCCTTCAAAATTGCAGTTGAATTTTTCTTAAAACATTGATATTTTTCCAAAATCTTGTCTGAACTCTGTCAACATAGGGTATTGTATTCAATTCCTATAACAATTTATTAAAACTTTCTAAAACGCGAAATAACGTCTAAAATTAGTTTACTAACATTGCTTTTTTTATAATGCAAAAGTGTGACGTCGCACCATCTGAACCCCCTCCCCCTCATCACACACCGTCACAAAATTACGGACCCCCCCTCCTACGAGTTTGACGTCATTTATGGACGACCCCTCCATGCACCTAATTTTTTTTTAATTTGTTTTCTAAATAGTAAATGTCTTTAAGTGTAAAGCAATTATTATTTCCTGACTTTTATTTTGGTTTTGTTCTCCGGGTGGAATGAAAGCTCCCATAGAATCTTAATAGCCTCTTCTTTCTGCGGGTCAGTTCCTCCCCGTAAAATCTCCAGCAGTAGAGGTAAAATTCCTTTCTCTGCCAACAGTTTTTTGCGCTTGTCGTTCTTGCTGAGCCCGCACAAAGCTGGAAGCATTTCTTCTAAACTAGAAAAATAAACCACTATTTTACCATACCGTTGTATCTTTTATTGAAGTGTCCGATAATAGAATCTTCTTAAAAGGAGTGTTAGATTAAAGGAAGTAAGCTTTAAAATAATATAACTTGCATTTGTCATTGCAAATTATATCCCTAACAGCAGTGGCGTAGCGAGGTCGGGTGTCACCCGGTGCGGCACTTAATGGTATTACCCCCCCCCCCCTCAAAGGAGCACTCGACTCTTCCCGGGGACAAACTTTCAATTTTCAATTTGCACCCCCCCCCCCCCTCGAACTTTCGATTTGCACCCCCCCCCCCTCAATATGTTACTATTTTTTGCCTTGGTGTCACCCCCCTAAATGGTGTCACCCGGTGCGGTCCGCACCCCCGCCCCCCCCCCCCCCCACCCCCTTCGCTACGCCTCTGCTCGTACCCCATAGTCCAGTACCCGGCTCATCAACAGTAGGAAGCTATTAGCTAAAAAAAATTATGTCACTCAGGTCTAATTAATTATTACTGATATATAGGGAAATGCATTCTGAATAAAATAACATTCCCCATTTAAAAGCATTCGAAAAAGTCTGCACTTGGGCAGCAGTGTTCCCTCTAAGCTGCGCGGCTGCGCGGCCGCGCAGCACTTACAAATATGCCGCGCAGACATTTTCTGATGCCGCGCATAGATTATCAGAACGTCGGGCAAGCCTGATTCACTAAAAAAATTGTGGTCAGTGGCTTGAATTAAGCGACATTTTTAGTGCCTGTTTTGTTAAACAAACAGTCTTTGTGTTTTGGGACATAAATAGAAACCCCGGATATAATTGACTGGCCTGGACCAAGCTGATACTTAAAGTTTCTGACCTCGGTTGTCATAGCACAGGTCTAGTTTATGACTTGCCTCTCACCTGAGCGGGGTACCGATCTAATGTCTGGGTGACACTCCCTGTGCTTGATTTAATGGTTTACCCCAAAACTGATCGTAGCTGACACCTGAAAGGGATTGTGGCTACTAGCTGACCATGCAAGGTTTTTTTTATTGCCACTGCCCTCCCCCATCTCCCAACCCCACCCATTTCCTTGATACTTTGACGATTTACCCAAGTCAGATGCAAATTCTACGTTACTAAAGGTGGATGTGTTTTTGCTGTTTGGTTTAAGGATTTATATACTATCTATCCAATTCTTGGGATCATTACGTGCACCTGGATCGAACTGTTTCAGTATTCACAAACTGGTTTGGTAAATAAGGAATAAAAGTTTACTACTCTGTGCTATTTGAAAATGTTGAAAAGGAAAATGCGTGTAACAAGCGGTAAAACAATGCAGCAAAAAAAAAAAGCGAGAGATTCGTTTAAACTGGAATGGCTCAAAGTTAAAGTAATAACCGATACGCCCGATTCAAAGAATGTTTCAGTTGAATTAGGAAGCATCTATGAATATTCAGATGAGATTGGACTGAATTGTAAGTTCTGTGCTGCTAGTCCTATTAACAAAACCAACAAAGACAAAGAATTTGTCACAGGAAAGCGTTGGGAATCATGGAAGCTTGACTACTGTAAACGTCATTTATTGTCTCGTGTTCACTTAGAAAATATTGCGATTGTGTACAACCGCTCAAATGGGACTGGTCTTAAACGTCTGCTGGTTGAAACTAACAATGAGCGAGAAGAACGAATTGAACAAAATGAGCGCCAGCGTTCAAACGAGGATCAAGTTCGAATCCTAATGGATAATGTTCTTCTCGCCATTAGGATACACGCCTCGATGCTGTCGGTACAACTGATTCATAACCACATGGGGAAGTATGTTTCTATACCAGACAGTTGGCGAAGTAAGAACTACGCCTTTGAGTTTGTTGAAGCAATCAACAAGGTGGTTGTAAAGAACATACTGACAGAACTTCGAGTAGCATCGTTTCACACGCTTATAGTTGATGAAAGTACTGACATAACTGTACATAAAATGCTAATCCTTTATTTTAAATTTCGTCCAGTCAATTCTTTACTCTACAAAACCGTTTTTGGTGGGATAATTCAGCTTACTGCATGTGATGCCTCAGCTCTGGAGGCAGCCATAACACAGTACTACACTGAACATCAACTTGACATGAACCGCATGGTAATGATAACATCAGATGGGGCATCGGTTATGTTAGGCCGTAGGAAGGGATTAGCTGTTTAACTAAAGGCTAAGGTCCCCCATCTTGTTGAACAGCACTGTGTTGCTCATCGAGAAGACTTGGCACTTTCTGACGCTTGGAAAGATGTTAATTTGTTTAAAAATATTGAGGTTCTCTTACGCACGGTTTACACCTTATTTAGTCGATCTTCAGTTAAAAAGGGCGCACTTGAAGAATTGGCCAAGGTGCATGATATGGATGTAATTTCTTTTCGACCAATTCATGAAGTTCGTTGGTTGTCACGTCACTTTGCTGTCAGTGCTTTGGTTAGAAATCTTGATGTTTTAGCTGCCTACGGTGAAGAACAAGTCCAAGACTGCAATGATCCTGTTTGTTGTTATATTTTGAGATCATTAAGAGATCCCCATGTATCAAGTTGCTCTGTATACCGTTAATGATGTATTAACTGAATTAGCTAATCTATCAATGTTGTTGCAGCGAAGTAATTTATCATCTATTGAAGCACATCAATTTTTCATTTCTAAAATACGCAAATTAGAAGCACAATACCTGAGTGAAGATGTTTATCGGAATGATAAAGCAAAGAAAATTTTGAATGAAAACGTAGGAATCGACACAAGACAAATCATACAGTTTATACGATCAGTCTGCGACCATTTAAATGTAAGGTTTCCAGCAGATGAACTTCAGTTTTGGTCAGCTTTTGATCATACTGGTTTAAAAAATTGTGCATTTGAGTTTGGCGTCAAAGAGATTAAAGAACTGTGCGGAAAGTACAAAGAAGTGTTACAAACAACAAATGAAGAGTCAATTATCACGCAATACAATGACTTCAAATTTCAGATCAGCGAAAAACTCAAATCAGGTTCAGTAAATTCACTATCCGAAATCGCAGGAGTTGCTTTAAACGATGAACAATTTAGCTCACTGGCAAAGTTAATTGACATATGCTGTACTTTTCAAGCATCCAGCGCTGATTGCGAGCGAGGTTTTAGCCTTATGAACAGCATTAAAGTGCAAGCACGAAATAGACTTGAAGCCACACATTTGGGAAATCTAATGCGAATTAAATTATATCTAAATGCTGGAGAGGATGTGGATTTAAACAAAGCATATAAGGTGTGCAAGCAAGGCAAGGTTAGACGCGAGAAATTGCAATAAATGTCCCTGAAAGGTTAGCTAATTTTGTTTTCAAGTCTGCTTTTTAAAATGGTTAACATGTAAAACTGATGTATTTGTATTACCGCTATGGTATTAACATTATTAACATGATTGCATTACAGTAACATAGTAAGTCGACCACATAACCTGTTGTCTAAGTATAACTCTAAAAGTTTCTATTGTGTATTTTATTTTATTTTGATGGGATTCGTATCTTCTTTTAATTGCATACGTTTCACTAGTCCTACACATTATTCTATTAATTTATCAAAATGCATGCCTTCATTACTCTGCTTAATTGCAAGCCTAAACATACATATTAACTTGCCCAAGTAATTTTCAGCACCGCGCACACAACATATTTTTTGCACACACACTCTTGGTCCTTAGAGGCAACATTGTTGCGCAGTGACAATCATGGGATTGTTGCCACGGGCCTGTGGGGCTGGGCCTGGTGCCCAAGCTGCTGTCAGCTGTCCGTTTACTTTCTACTGCACATATTCTCAATGTTCTTGGATAAGTGTTTTAATTGTTTAAAGTTCTTTTTCTGTACATTATGATATTTGATATGAGTTTTAAAAGCGAAATAAGATAACTATTAATATTTGTGCAAGGAGCTGGAGAGCCGCATCTTGACAGCTAAAGAGCCGTATGCGGCTCGCGAGCCGCACGCTGCCGACCCCTGACCTAGTGTACTCACACTTTTAAATTTTATTAATACACATAAACGTTTATGACGGAAATAACTTAGGGTCAAAGTGTTCCTTCGTCGCAAGCAATTGTGATTATTACGCATTTTCGTTCGTCTAATTGTAAGTTATTTAATAAAACAAAAGGTTTTCTATATCAAACATAGTAAAATTGTAACATTGGGGTTAAAGATTTATAAAAGTTAGGTAATAAATAATTGTAACTATTAATATTTAAATATACATATAGATCTATTTTTTTTCTTTAGCTAGAAACATTAAACTACAATTACACATTGTCCCGTATTGAATGTCTATGTATTTTAACGCCCTTTGGGGAACGTGTTGTGTCCCTTACATGGCGATTTACATAAGTAGCTAATACAATTCAGTATTTAACTTTTAAAAAAAACAATTTTATTTTATCATTGCGATTTATCTCAACTTATTAACAGTGGCGTAGCGAGGTCGAGTGTCACCCGGTGCGGCACTTAATGGTGTCACCCCCCCCCCCCCAGATGCGTAGCGACCCTTCCCGGGGACAAACTTTCAAACTTTCGATTTGCACCCCCCCCCTCAAGTTTTTCTCTATATATTTTGCTATTTTTTGCCTTGGTGTCACCCCCCTAAATGGTGTCACCCGGTGCGGTCCGCACCCCCCGCCCCCCCTCGCTACGCCCCTGCCTAACAGATACCCAAACTAAAGTTCTAACAAAGCCCCAACACTAATCCTTCCGTAACACCAAATCTGCTGAAATCTGTTATAGCTACACTTTTAACTACCGGTCTCAAAATTAGATTTTTTACAAGAACTATTCAAACTCTGGTAGGAAGAATGATGCGCCTGATTTCTTATATACATTTTGAAGAACATAAACAACAACATGTTAAGAGATGGCAAGTTTAAAATCTTATACACTGTGCTGTTTTCAAGTTTAGCGCAACGTGTTTGTTTAAAAAAACATGATATGTGTTAAAGTAAAAATGTAATGAAAAATGTAATCAGAGTTTTTAAAATGCATCGGATTAAATAGAAATGTAATGACCACTATAATCAAAAAATTTAGGCAACACATGTTGAAATTAAAGCGTTAGACAGGTGAAATCAAAGATTTTAAGCTTCATGTGTTAAAATAAAAACATCAAACAGGTGTAATCAAAGATTTTAAGCTTCACGTGTTGAAATAAAAACATGAGGACAGGTGTAATCAAAGATTTGAAACCTCCAGCCCAGGTAAGTTTTCTTCTTCTTGTCCCACGCCCTCCTGGTGATGTCCAAAATGTCGTCGATGATTTGGTCACCCAGGGACACCAAGGCCGCTTGGTTGTCGTCGATGGTCAATGCCAATGTCAAGGCCACCATGAACTTGTAGCCGTCTGGTCGACGAAAACAGAAACAAATACAGGCTTGAATCCGACTTTTTAAAACGTCTATTTAAATAATTTTATTAAAATAAAGTAGACTAAACAAAAAAATTGGCTCTTTTAACTATTCCAAAAAGGTGAACGAATTATTTCTTTTTTAATTTATTTTCTGTGCGCAGAAATCATTTTATAAAACTTTTATAAAGAATACATCATTATTTTAATCTATTTGTAATATTTCATATTTTATTCGTAAAAAGTCTTCGTTTGTTATTTAGAATGATTGTTTTCTTCTTGTTTGATCTTAATTGTAATGTTGGCAGTGATTTCCCCGAACATGTGTGTGACATTCAGAGTTTCTTCCAGGCATCTCTTCGGGGGGGCTTGGCCCCCCCCCCCGAAAATTTTTTACCGCCCCCCCCCCCCCGAACGAAATGAAATTTATATAATTTATATAGAAAATATATACTTTTAACAGTGTCCGCCCCCCCCCCCCCGAAGAAAGTTTACCGCCCCCCGAAAATTTCAAGTGCCCCCCTCCCCCCGGAGAAAAAAGTCTGGAAGAAACACTGGTGACATTGCGCTATAACAATAACGATATTTCAACAGTGAGCTTTTTTTTTTAAACCTACCTCCCACTAAACCCATGGCTTTCTCCAAAAGATCAACCACTTTGTATTTACTGAACAACTTTTTAGTTGTTGGCTCTTTTGCGATGTTGAACATTATGATGATGGTCTCAATCAGAACACTGGACTTGGGCTAAAACAAACAAGTACGTATATTTGTATGTCATTGTCTTGTTTTCAGGATTCAGTTCTAACAAGAGTAAATGAAAAATGAAAAGACTAAACATTATTTTTTTTTTACATTTAGAATGAAATATAGTCATTTAAATATTTTAAACATTGGTTAAATTGTAATGTTTTAGAAATTAACTTACTTCCCATCTTAATAAGTAAGTAAAGTTAGGTTTTTAATTCGATAATCAAATTTCAATTTTAAAAAGTACAGGTAATTGTTATGCATTGTTTCTCATGTTTTGAATGATAAAATCAACGAAAAACCTTGTTGATATTTATTGAGTACAAGATAGACATTTTATACCATTACTTTAAGAGTTGTATGTTAAAAAACTTACGTCACTTCCTGTTTCCGTTCTAGATTTTAAGTCCTGGACAAGTTCCCTCAATATCCCATCGGTTGCCAGTTTCCCAGCAAAGGGAGCGAACACGGAATATATTCTCCACACATTCCTAATGCTGCGAACGATATCCAAGCAAGTTTCCTCGCTTTGATCATCGTCGTCGTCGTACACAACCGCATCCACTTGATCTTCCTCTTCCGCTTCATAGTACTCTTCGTTTTCATCCTGCCCTTCGTCGTATGAACCTTCCTCACCATCGTTGGTTTCCTCGGTGCCATCACCGTAAACTTGCTCATAGTACTCATCAATCTCTCCTCCCTCCTCAGTAGGCTCCTCCAGGTCATCGTTTTCCTCATACCCGTAGTTTTGGCCTTCTTCTTCCGCGGACACTTCCGGGACTTCGTTCTCTCCTTCGGCGTTTTCCTCTTCTTCTCCTTGACCTTCAGTGTTTTCTTCTTCTTGTCCTTGACCTTCAGTATTTGCCCCACCATCATCAGCAAGCCACTCATCTAGATCTTCATCGTAATATTCGTACTCTTCATCCTGTGCCGCAACATTATCATTTTCCTCCGTGCTGACTCTCTCCACCAGATGCTCCATCCCCAATACTTTCAGCGTGTTCTTGTACGCCTTCAGACTTTTACTGCAGAATGACACCAGCACCAAAAACTTGGCGATTTGTTCCTTTTGGGAATCTGAAATATTTTTGACGCGGCATAACTTCCGAAAATGGGTGGACAACTCAGAAAAAGTTGCGCTTGTTTTGCCCTTGCAGGTGTAGATGGCGCTTCTGAAGAATGTGTTGAGCTCTGGCTGCTGTTCCATCAGCTTGACACACTCCTCCGAATCCTCTTCGTCCAGGCCCAGCACTTGTAGCTCCGTCTTCAAAAATTCGACAGTCACCTCTTCGTCTTCTTCTTCGTCATCTTGCGTGTTATCGTGCTCATTACCTATTTGTTTTTAAATATAGATTTGTATTTTATGTTTAATAAAGTACAAGTAATAAAATAGTTTTAAATTAGCGTGCTGAAATTATGCTTTTTCAACTATGTCGTTCAGTGCGTTGCCTCTTCCATAGAGCTACTATTTGTAGAGCTTATTTGATTGTCAATTAGTGTTTCATTGTTAAAACTAATGAATATAACGATACAAGTTGTGCTCTACATGTATTTGGAGTCTGGTTACTCCCAAAATCTATTACAGACACGAGCCCAGGGACCGTAATCACGACATAACTTTGATAACTCATCGCTTCACAGCAAGATTTTCTTTCAGACATCTCTCGGGGTAATCCCCGGAGCAAGTTTCCCCCTTCCCCTCCCCCCGAGAAAAAATTTCTGAAAAAAACATTTTTCATCGCTTCACTACGCTAAAGCATGAAAACATTCCTTTGATATCAATTTAGTTTGTCACACTGTAACTCAAAAAAAGACAATGTTAAAAAGTTGTTTAAAATTTAATGTATTATTATTCAGTAGGCAAGTGTTTTTAATAGCTCTTTAACACGGATGCTATGTGCGTTGCCTATGACAACCATTTGTTTACACGTTTAAAAGCGAATCGGATCCATAAAGGTATAGAAATCGATAGAACACTGGACCAGATATCACTGTGTACACTATTATTAGAATGTGGGCAGATCGGGTGGCCTAGATTAAGTATATATATTGATTTTATTTTTACCTGAAGTAAATAGAGTCTTAGAAGAAAAAAAATATTTTAATCAACCGCGGGAGTAAGCAGAAGATTTAGTCCCTTATTCCGCCTGTCGGAAATATTTAGTGAAAGTAGAGCAGTTACCTAGTGTGAAGGTCAAGGTTAGTGCAATAAGTTCGAATACAAATCCAGTGCACGTTTAAGACGACAACGGTTGTGAAGTTAGTGTTAGGTGTGGTGATACGGCGGGAGCCGAACGTTTTCCCGAATGGACACTTGCCCGAATGCGATAAATGCCCGAATGCGACAATTGCCCGAATGGACACTTGCCTGAATGCGACAAATGCTCGAATGGACACTTGCCCGAATGCGACAAATGCCCGAATGGACACTTGCCCGAATGCGACAAATGCCCGAATGGACACTTGCCCGAATGGGACAAGTGCCCGAATTTGTCTTTCGGGAATTTGTCGTAGACCCGCTACGGCTAATGTTAGATGTAACGCCCTCGTTGGGTTATCAATAACAACAACAAAACTTGGCCAGGCTTTTTTTTAAAACAAAGAATTAATTCACCCACCTGTAGGCCTGGTCTGCTTTGAGTTTGAGCGCTGTGTGAAAGCCAAAACTCCCCGGATCTTTGAGGAGCTGTCGCTCAAGGATTTTTTGTATTTTTTGTACATGTCGTCTACTGCATCAGCTGCAACAAAACAATGTGTACATCTGTTATATCTATTTCTATTTTTAAAAATGTTAAGTAAGGTAACCCTTTCGAACCTGGGAAGTCAGGTACCCATTAGAGCTGGGTGGAATCAGTGACGCTATACAGATTCTGGTCAGGGACTCGAACGTCGCCCCTGGTGTTTCTTTCAGACTTTTTTCTACAGGGGGGATGGCACATTGACTTTGGAGGGGGGTGGAGGTAGACATGCTACGGACATGACCGCCCCCCCCCCCTCTCCAAGACATTCCTGGAAGAAACACTGACTTATTATTAACGTATGTGTGATAGTTTAAAGATTCTACGCGTGATCCATGCACGAACTGTCTATCAAGTTCGGTGAGGTTGAGATCTAAATACAAAAACGTTTTACCCTCCAAAAATCCAGGTGAGCGCCCTAAATGAAATTGTTAGGCGAAAGTAGCCTGTATGCCAAATTTCAGATCTGTAGAGCAATCAGAAGTGGGCTAATTTTCGATGTCAATTTTAACAACAAACAAACAAATCCACAAACGCGAAGCTGAGTTAAGAAAAACGTGTTAAAATACTATATGGGTCGGCGTGGTAAAAGCTCATGGTTGCTAAACCGGTAAGTCTCAAGTTCGACCCCTCGGGCAGATGAGGCTCGTTAGCTAAGGACAGTAACTCTTTTATGAGAGACAACTCCAAAATCAAATGACTGCTGCTTTGTAGTTTGTTTTTGGTTGGGCAAAGGCTATGGAAGCAAATCCAAAAAGAAAAGCAGGCTGAATTCGGAATCAATTGCCTATATGGCGCATAACCAGTTGACACGTATACTTAATTGTGTTGGAGGGGATACCCTTTCAACAATAAAAAATTAAGAACGAAGGACATAAGAAGAAGATCTCTAAAAAGCCATATTTTGTCACAAATGCTTGTGTATATAAAATATAACTGTACAACAAAAACAACGTAACGAGATCCATCACGCGACATGTAGACTACTTACGTCTGTCCTAGTGGTTTGAAGAATTCAATTGTGTAACACAAAATCATGCATCAGTCACACATATCACACCAACGCCACCTTACAACCGCGAGCTGAAAATGTAAACATTAGCTAACTTTTATGTGTCGACGAGTGAACAGCCAGGGGAGAAAACACGGGCGTTATGCTCTGACGAGTTATAGAACCTGTTTCATATATACCACCCACCCCACCCCCCCCCCCCCCTCCCTCCTCCCATACACACACCTCCGCGACCTCCAATACCTTGCTTTTATTTGTTCAATAAGTGAAGAACCGGATGTAAAAAATCCCCAGTTCATACAAATCGATAATCGATATGTGCTTGGTAGATCAATCGAATATCGAAAAATGAATCCATTCAATAAATCGATACTTAACCTTTACGCGAATAATAGCTTTTTTTCGCTTCATTCATTCTCTCTAATTTCCATATTACTTCTCTCTCTTTTTCCCCCTCAATCTCTCATTACTAGATCTGCCCAGAGACCTTGCATGCCACAAGCCTATAAGACATTTTACCAAATGCCATTTCTAATTATAACTTTACATAGCCATTCCTCTTGCCCCCCTTTTGCCACCCTTTCACACATACACACACACACACACATACACATACACATACATACACACACATTTTTACACACACACACACACACACACCTAGGACAGAATATTCTACATTGACACTCACACACTATCACTTTACATTTTTAGACCTGCAGGCTTTAGTTTTGGACCTATTGACCTTTAGTTTATCTAGACCTAGTCATGTATGTTGGATTGGACCTGTTCTGGGCCTGTTTCTTTACACGACTTGCTTGTATGGGACCTGGGACCTCATTTGCGTCGGGCCTAGTGACAGCGACTTCAATACTTCAAGTTTCACCCTCCACCCCCACCCCCCCCCCATACACCTACACTTAAAATACTAAATGTGCATTTCCGTTTAACACTTAAACACAATTGTACTTTTTCACTGCACCTGAACACAAATGTGCATATTTCCCTTAGGTATCACCCTTCTCCCTACCATTTTATTATTTCACAATATTATAACTACAGGATTAAAAAAAATCTATCAGTACGTTTTTTATTTTGTGACGCCCCCCCCCCCCTCCTTAAATACTGCTTCAAGGTAGGGTCCATACCGCGCCCCCCCTCCTCCCTAAATACTGCTTCACGGTAGAGTCCATACCACGCCCCCGCCTTCTGTCGCTGCTGTCTGTTGATTTGAGTTCAACTCGACCTGTTGTAGATAGTTGTACAAGATCCCAGGACCTCAGTTTTACCTGACTAGTTTATTTTTAGTTAGATCCCAACTGAGCTGTCGACATAGTCACAAACATTTCTTCTCTCAATGTTAAGCCCCACTTGTCCAGAGAATATTCATGTAAGCCATTCCAGGAATTTGTTTTTATCTAGCGTACTGTTACACCATACAAATCGATCGTCCAACCTATCGAGCTATGTGTTAGTATCTCGTCTTATATATATATATATATATATATATATATATATATATATATATATATATATATATATATATATATATATATATATATATATATATATAAGTATATACCAAGCAGACAAGCAGATCCACAATAACTTCCATTTTGATGATTTAATTTTAAACAATAGAATGGGTCGAATTAGAATGAAAACAGACACAAGGTCGAGCCGGGTACTGAACGGTGGGGTACGAGTTCACCCTGGGGTGGAGGATAAGCCTGGTGAGAATCAAGGGACAGAAGCGATGGATACACGATAATCAAACCGATATCCAAGCCAGTTAAATGGAGTTTGCCGTTTTTAGGCTAATGGGAGACACCTCCTGAGCTCGTGATGTCCGTAAAAAAAGAAAGAAAAAAAATGTACAGGCACAATCTAGTACAGCAAAATAACCATGACAGTTACACGCTTATTTTTCTAATACTTACAGGGGAGACAACTCGTATAATTTTCTAATACAATTTTGCTGGGATAGTCTAATGTATAGAACAGATCAAAGTAAAAGGCGCAAAATTAGAACATACTGTAGCAATTTAGGAAACTCAGTATGGTCGACAAAACATAAAATATCATTTTTTAAAGTTAGATCTAGATGCTGTTGGGTGTTTTGATCACACCTTAAAATTATGCTGTCCATGTTTGTTTCATAAGCTGACAGAAGAAGTTGAACCGGGATTACGTGTAGTTCTTTCAGAGTCCAAAAAATCTGTTTTGTTTTGACAAACACAAAAATGACAAACACAAAAATGGCAAACTTCTAACGCAGGGGTCGGCAACCTGCGGCTCGCGAGCCGCATGCGGCTCTTTTGATATCAAGATGCGGCTCTCCAGCTCCTTGAACAAATACTAATAATCATAATAAAATATTTGAAATAAAAAAATGTTAGTGGCTCTTTAAAACCAGGGAAATTTTGAAAATTGTAACTTTTGGCTCTTCCGCTTCAAAAGGTTGCCGACCCCTGTTCTAACGTCGATTGAAGAACAGTTGACACTATAGACTATAGAGCAAGGGTCTCCAAACTTTTCAGCCCGAGGGCCGCATTAACGATCAAATATCACTTCGGGGCCAGAGTTTCTTCAAGGCATCAATTCGGGGTGTCTACCAAAGAACGTCTAGCGCCCACCCCCAACAAAATATAATTTTTTATAGAAAGATACAAATTTCAAGTCCCCCCCCCCCCTCACGGAGAAAAAAGTCGGAAAGAAACACTGTCAGGGGCCAACAACACGCTCGAGGTCTTCACGTATTTCATTCTTGAAAATGTTTGTTCACATAGGTATGTTTTCCAAAATTTGAAAGGTAGGCCTACTTTGATGCAAAAGTTTTAATTTTCGGAAAATCTTCCTAGGGCAAAATCTTATAAAAACACACCCGCCCTTCTTTTAGGTTGTTTCTAAGGAGGTCATTTGCTTGCAATTCAATGACCTCCGTTGCAGTTCATCAGGGCAACTGGCCACATTTGCTTCAAATGTGTTTTGAAAAAGTCTCACTTCTTCTGCTTTTGAATCCAAGTCAGAAAACCGCTACTGAAACTGCAGCTGGAGGTCCTTGATGATCTCGCATAAAAAATAACTCAGCTATGAAGACCACCCACATGACATGTTTGGATTTGAAGGCCTTTAGGTGGGTGTATAGATCAGAAGCGAAATTTCCCTATCTCGTAGTCTTAGGTTCAGAAAATTTAAATGACTAGTTATGTCTGCAGCAGAGGCCGATATCTATCCCCACTCTTGCGTTTACTTTCCAGAAAGTAACCTATTTCCTTAATACTCTGCTAAGAACTTTCTTACAACATAGCCATCTTACTGCTGTGTAATATGGTAAATCTTGCGATTATATGTTTGTATATTTCAACATGTCTCTGAACTATCTATGGTTGAGCCCATGTAATCATATAAGATTCCCCATCTTCATCACCGGATTCAGTACACTGCTAATGTCCGTATATTTAGCACACAATGTTATCTGGGAAATAATACAGTGCAGGAAGATTGGTTCTAGAATGTTTTTCTCATTCGCTTGTCCAACCAAGAGTTTCTGTATATCGCACCCATGTACTTTTCTCCATCAATTGTCAGGTAACTGAGGTTAGTCCAGTCCAAGTTATAATCAGCAAATATTTATTTTTAATTCATTGAATACATCCTCTCAGGTAACATTGTCATACATGTTATGTAGGGAAGCCAGCTCTGGTGTTTTGCTCATGTCTTCATCCACACCCCTAATGAACACAAGCAGTTGAGAGGTGGAACAGATATCCAGCGACTCAACCATTGCTATTGAAAAATGTCGAAACGTGCTTGCATTTTTCGCTATTTGAGTCACGGTATTTTCACAAATATCTGCAAATCGGTGGGCAACGTTAGTTGCACCCAAAGCTATAGTTTCAAATTGTTTTGAATTTTCTGGGCAAAGTTACTCAGCCCCCTGAAACAAATATTTTTTTTCCGCGGACAAAAGATCTCCGCGGGCCGGATGAGAAGACCTCGTGGGCCGCATCTGGCCCGCGGGCCGTAGTTTGGAGACCCCTGCTATAGAGAGAGCACTTCCAGGAAGTACTAAGGACCCCAACAGCATAAGACCCATCGGGCCGAGGACCTCTTAACATCAATACCGGGGAAATAACGATGCAGGAAATTATCTAGGTCTTAAATTGATAGTTTGATAGGTATCAACACCAGACAACATCCCAGTGGGCGTTAAAGCAAGATTTAGAAGTAGTTGCAGATCGACTGCATCAATTACCCAACTTAGTCTGGAGCACAGGCTGGTTGTTCGCAGGTCTGACCGGCAACTGTGGCTGTACCCCAGATCATGCTTATATTTATATCGCAGTTGAGTTGGAACATTTTTGAAGTTTTCCAAAGATAATCCAAATAAACTGCACAACGGAAAAGAGTACACACACGTTTTTAATTTAAGTAACCTGATAGGGTAAGTGAAGTAGAGCTCACTTGTTTCTGTGACCTCGGCATATAGTGTGGTCAGCACAGGTTAGAAAGGGAACTTTACTTTTTTTTAATGAGTTGTATCTAACAGATGTGGAAGAGACATTTACATGTGAGTTTCTTTTTTCTTTTATTGTCAATAAATATTCGGGGGGGGGGGGGGGGATTCTGTGTCTAAACTTACTAGGGCCCAAATAGAGATGGTAAAAAGTTTTCCAAATGTAAATGTTGGATTCAGAATATAATTTTTAATTTTTGGAACAAGTACAAGTTGAATGTTCTTTTCGAAACTCAAACGTATCAAAAGTTATATACAATGGGACAAGCATGCCCATGCTTTCTTGCATTGCTTTCTATTGGAAATGACTTACTGCGGGAAATGTTGATGACTTAGCATATGCGATTTTGATAATGCAAAGAGCTACAAAGTTAACAGTTCCAATAGAAGTCTACATGCCATAACATGCATGTGTAGCTATTTACATAATCAAGAATAAAAACCACCATTAAAAAATAAAAGGTTTAATTATAAAAGCACCTATTACATCATAAATAATGTATCTATTAAAATGTATAATATATTTATGAGATACAAACTACCCCATTCTGTTTAAAAATTTAACTCCAGAGACTCAGGTAAATGTTAAAACAAAAGTTAAAATATGTTGTCAAAAACTATGCTCAACATAATTGTAAAAGAGTGGTTAGAAATATACAAAATAATTACATTAAGAGTCATCCATAAACATCACTGCATTAGTTTGCCTTCAGTGATCATTTGCTATGTGTGGATTAAAAGGGGGGGGGGGGGGGGGGGGTTCAAGAAAATGTGTAGTCGAATTAATGTTTAAAAATAAATTGGTGTTGATTTTTTAGCAGAGTTATGGTTATTTATTTCTGGGCGAGTCTAAATTTTTGTGATCTCTGACCGTGGGTGGGTAAGTGTGTATAGGGCAGGGATGGATCAAAATGTTCATAGTTCATTGTTTTCTCCATTAAAGCCTGAATTTTACGCCTTGTTATGGAGGAATGGAAATGGTAAAATGGAGAAATACTGACAAAAGTTTTTTTTTTTTTAAATCAAACCACTAATAGGACTATTATGGCACCATTCCTGGGGACCCACCTGAAATTTTCCTGTAAGACGAGTGGGCCAGGCCACCCAGGTGGGGTGGGGGGGATGTAAAATTGGGGAATTACGTGGCAATCACTAATGAACATAATTTAAAATAGAACAATTGTGTGGCTGAGAATGAACACAGGGAGTGTCTATCAAATGGAAATATGACAAAAACATTAATCGTAATGAGGTTACATGATAGGCCTTTACATAGTCTTTCTTCATACATGTTGTTCACAGTTAAAGAAATTTTTGTAATTTAGAAGAAAAATCTTTATAGAAATACCTATAAATAAAAGTACATACACATCATACTCACCAAGCTATAACACCTGATAGAAGTGTATTCAACACTTAAATTAGCTAAATATATCACTAACCACATATGATTATTTTGTACCTGATATTTTAAAAACTACACTCAGTAAGGTACCAGCTATATAATACCACAAGCTCACAATTACTACAAATTTATACATACATCTCAGCAATTATGAACCAAACTACAAGTAGCATGGCAAGCAATTAAAAAAATATATACATCATCTTAAGGTATGCATAACATGACAGTTCTAACTATGTACAGGAACCTTTGATCTCATCACAGTTATACATAAGACTACTAACTGACCCCAATAATTACTAGTTTTATAAAATACATATTCACTACAAGCTTTACAAATTAGAAACAAACATAATGTACACCACCATCTTCTTTACTAGTTGTATAATTTAAAAATGCTATCATTTTCAATTATAAAATGATATATTGATATCTAAATTTTCTAATAAAAGCATTTCTAACAACAAATTTTTGTATACTCATGTACACCAGCCAATAACTGAATAAAACTGGGGCCTTTACTTTTGTTTTTACTAATTATTTATCTCCCATTTAAAGAGCTGATGTTAGAGTTATTGTTACTGACTTGTCTGTCTATTACTCAGTCTATGAGTTCCTTGGATTAACACAAATACACTTTGATTTTAATATTTATATAAAACTGTAAAAAAATTAATTAAATTTGCCAAGCATTTGTGACATTAATATTTTTATTTAAAAAATCTTACAAAATATAATCAAATAGTAGAAAACAAAATATAACATCCTTTTGTTCCTTTTAGTAGCTTAACTTTATGTTCTTCAAGTCCTCAATCCCACTGATATCCACTGGGGAAAAATAAATGGTGAAAATGATGAACATGAAAAAGATGAATCTATGTAGCACTGCTGGATATGAGACAACTTTTTATAGTAAGATAATCTAAGATAGTTGATAAAGGTATTGCTGAATATTTTCTGGTAAGTCTTTCTGTGGTATTCAAGATTAGTGAATTTATTTTAGTAAAGTTTCTAGGTGTGTATATGTGACTTACATGATGATTTATACAAGAATATTTTAAGGACTGTCACCAACATAAGTTTGCTTAGAAAAGTTGCTCATAGATGATTGCAGGATGATACAGTTAACAAGGGGAATAACTTTTGCAACTTTTACTGACTTAAACGCAGTTAGTTGCCACAACCATCTTTCTATTAGCAATATCTAAGTTTAAAGGTTAAAATACTGTCATTTAAATTGTTTTATATAATAAATAATAATTGCTTTGTTTTGACTTAAAATGTTTTTAGTAATGAGTACTAAACATTGGCTACACAATTCATAGATTTTGTGTGAACCTAATTTATCAAAGCCATACCTCATTTAAGTCCATATTAATTTTTCTGTTGGTCTCAAGTTCTTTGTAAGTCCCTAGGAATAAAATTCATTAGAGAGATTGACATTTATTGTAAAGACTATTAAAATTTTTATTCCAGTTGTTATGTATTTAGATCAAAATTATTAATTGTCATTTCAGTTTATGTAAAATTAAGATAATCAAGTGAGTTAGTATTCAGACTTGAAAAGAATATTTTTTTTAAAAAACCTTACTTAGAAGTTGCATTGTCTTGCAAAATCCCTGCAGAAAGTCCTCTTCTGAGATTCTACCATTGCGGCCGCCATATCTCTTCATCAGTGCATTCACTGCTTCCTGTCCGGCATTGAAGTCTACAGGGAATGAGAAATAATTTTGATATAAATTATTGTTTGCTTTAAGATTTTTCATTATATGGATAGGTTTATAAAGCTTCTTGAAGTGTAATATAATAATCATAAGATTATTTTGAAATAATTAAGTGATTTAATTTCTAAATTGTGCTTTGGAAAATGTTATTTTACCAATAACTTCAAACAGCTTTTGAAGTTCACTGCTATCAACTGAGTTATTCTTGTCTTTGTCAATTAAAGTAAAAGCTTTCTGGTGAATAAAATGATAGTCAGGAATAAATTGCTTTTGTTTCATGAATGAGATTTTGGGAATTTAAGTTATTTCTCTTTCCTTATTCACAATTTTAAACATCAAAAAAATAAATAAAGTAACAACTGATTTCAATTTTATTAACATCACCAGGTTAGAAACAAGAGCTAACATGTGATTTATAGAGAAATGAAAGAATTTGATTCATTTTATTTTAATACTCGCTTCTGTTAAAATATCTTCTTGCATTATGCAAGGCAAGTGAAATTAGATTCTTAAAAGTTAATTTTTTTACCCTCCAGTTCTGAAGATCCATCCAAACTTTACTGACACCATCTTTATCAATCAGACCTTTTGATGACTGAGTCTATTATTGTGTTAAAGCAAACAGCCACATTCTTTCATTAACTATATAGGCCTATAAGATCTGTTTTATAAATTCTCATACGTCAGTGTTATGAAATATTTTTATAAATCTGGAATATTTTACTCTGTATATTTACAGTACCACTACAAGGTGGGATGGTTGAGTATGGTGCACACCAGGTGACACCAGTTAAGGTGGTGAGGAAAAAATTTAAAAAAAAAAAATAAGAGTGAAAGGGGGAGGGGTGACACCAAACTAAAAAAGTAAAAGAGTTAAAGGGGATAGGTGATCACTTCAGTTACAATGCCCAGTGAAACCTGGCCTAGTGACTCCACTGTATAGACATAATGATACATTTTAATTAAATAATGTTTGAACACGATTATAATGTTAAATACAAGGATACATTTGATAAGCCAACTAAACAGCGACAGGTTTCAATATTGAATCCCTTTGTGTTTCCCTCACCTAAAAAATAAATCCACAATGAATCTCTGATAAATTACATCATGCAATATTTGAGTTATCATAATTTTACTCTGTTTTCCATTTAAACAAAATAAACTCATTACATTACAGACACAATGATGCATTCTTAAACCTATTAAAATATTTTGTTTTGAAAAATGAAAAATGATTTAAATTGATGTTTAATGTTGAGATACTGAAAAACTTAAGGCCTCATTGTTCTATTTTAACTATAAATAAATCTATAGGCCCTACCTGCTTCTAAAGCTGCTTTAAAGACAAGCACTAGATCAGCAGCATCTATCTGACCATCTTTGCCTGCACATCCATCAAATGCTTTGCTGAGTGCTGCCTCTGTAAGATCCTAAAAGAAATCAAGTTTTTACTGATAATTCATGTTCAAATTTCCTAAAAGAAATCAAGTTTTTACTGATAATTCATGTTTAAATTTCCTAAAAGAAATCAAGTTTTTACTGATAATTCATGTTCAAATTTCCTAAAAGAAATCAAGTTTTTACTGATAATTCATGTTCAAATTTCCTAAAAGAAATCAAGTTTTTACTGATAATTCATGTTCAAATTTCCTAAAAGAAATCAAGTTTTTACTGATAATTCATGTTCAAATTTCCTAAAAGAAATCAAGTTTTTACTGATAATTCATGTTTAAATTTCCTAAAAGAAATCAAGTTTTTACTGATAATTCATGTTCAAATTTCCTAAAAGAAATCAAGTTTTTACTGATAATTCATGTTCAAACTTCAATGATTGAAAAAATTTTTACCAATTGTAAGAAAATATTTTTTTCCAACTAACCTTAGGTGACATTGGAACTATATCAATATTGGGCTTTGGTTGTTCAATGGGCCTAAAATTTCAAAATGTGTAGAGTCAAAAACAGAAAATTTTATATAAAATTAAATTAATTAATATGGTACTGTAGAAACCTACATCTGCATTTTTGGTTTTAAAGTATTATACAAGTATAATAATTAGATAGTCTGCATCATTTTGAAAATGTAATAGCAATGAGCATTCTTAGCTAATCTAATCAAAGCTAATCTAAACTCACTACTAGCTCTAGTTGAAATGAAATGTACCCATATACAATCACAATGAGCACTTAAAATCAAATTGACCACCTACTTTGATTTGACATCCTCTTGACAAAATACTCGCATATAAAACTCCGCCTCCAGCCCTGTCTTAAAGGTACAAGGCACAATGACATGCTCTCCTGGTTCAAGCTCATATCTGATAGTTCTCTCCCTGTAACCACATGTACAGAAAGTTAAAGTAAGAATCTTTCAAAGGGAGGCAAAATCATTTATGTTTATTTTTTTTAAAGTTTGAATAGGTATGTTTACAATAAGAAGTTTCATAACTATTTAAAAGTAGGATGTGATTGTACAAAAAAAGTCAATTTTAATTGAAAGCTGAAAGTTATATTTAAACTGGATGCCAGTTTACTTAAACAGTGCCCATAATTCAAGTTTTTAGTGTATAAATCTGGTAATTGTGGTTGGGATAAGATCATGTTTTCCTTAAACAAAAGGAATATATTTTAAAACATTCAAAAGCTTCTGATCATAGGTCTAGTAAACAACACTGCCAAATTTAAATCTAATATAAGCCTGTACAAAGACAGCTAACAGTCATTTTAATATACTAAATTATTTACTTAAAACTACAGTATTTAACAAACCATTTATAAATTAGCAGTCAGTATTTTTAAACCAAAGTTTGTCATCATTTACCTATATGGCCAGTAAGGTCCAGAAGTTTCTACAAGACGAGGCGTGTATTCATAGAAGTTTTCAGCAGTGATTCGTTTAGGCTTACGGCTATCTTGAAGCTGACAAAAAAAAAGAAACACTTTTGACATGACTCAAAAATAAAGTTTGAAAACCCTAATCATTATTTTTATTATTTTCTAGATGATTACATACTTCAAGCTCAATAGGCTATTACCTAAGATTACGATTAATTAATTAATTAACCTAAAGAAAAATTAAAAAATAAATGAAAAATGTATAACTTGGTACTTGTTTTAGTAAAGTTATTAGTGTCATGTATATGGCTATTTAGCAGAATTCTAGTCAAGTTTCTAGCCAAGTCAATAATCTGGTCAAGTATGTTTTTCCATTAAACGACCAAGAAAACTGTGACACTTACTTTGAAGATAACAAAACCAATGCTAATTTCTTCCGCTCGTCTTTTGAGCAAATTATCCACTTCAAACAGAGAAATGACAACAGGTGTGGGTTTCTTAGCTTTTGCCAGACTCAGATCAAATTGGGGATTGGTCCAGAATTTTTTGGACGTAAAGCTGACAGGTGGCCCTCCAGCAGAAAGGCCAGTAACCCATGAACCATAGTGTTCTGTCATCTGCCATTGAGTCAATTCCTGAGAAAATACAAGTAAAAAAATTGTATTGAGAAGGACTATAGTTAATACTGGTTAATATTAATTCTAATACATCTTGTAATTTAAAACATTATTACTTCCACACACAAAAATGGACATTAAAAGTTTTTTTCGTTTTCTTATCATTAATTTTATAGTTTATTTTAGATTATTGCTTTTTTCAAATGTCATTTAAGTTTTTGTTTTGTGAAAGATGTATAGAGAAAATTTACATAATTAATTTTATACCTGACAGGATAAAAAATACCTTTCATAAATACTACGCAATGTTTAGAATACCGATAGTATGTAGCTGACTAACCAAATTATTTGCAATTTCATCTGTGAGTCCATCAGGGGAAAGGTGACAAAGTTCTAGCTCATCAAAATTTATTCTGAAATCTTCCAGACTTATCCTAACAGGGAAGAAAGAAATAAAGTTTTAAACAAATCATTCAAAGTACTTCATGCTTTTCATTTTAAAACAGTAACCAAAAGGATTCATTTATACATTTAAATCTATATATCATCTTTGTGTTAATTAACTTGTACCAAAATTCTCCATCGTCAGCTGATTGAAATGTTGCATCCTTGTCTGCTTTGGGGAGTGTGTTCCATTCCGCTGACCTTAAACAACATGAAAATAGAATTACCTTTTTAGTTTTATTAGTTTTAAACATGTTTAGAATAGTTTAGAATAACAGGAAGATATTTTTCTCAAAATATATGCAGTCATTAACAAATAATATATAAAGAGTGTTAGTCAATATTTATTTTAATTAACCTAATGGTAAATATCAGTGGTTAGATATAGTTTGTAAAGTAAATGTAACAGTAATTATTATCTCATACAAACATATATGTTCTTGATGCATATTTGAATGTATTAAAGAAAAGAACAATGTTATAAATAAGTCTAATGAGACAATTACATTACGTTTATAAACAAAAAAATTGTATTTAAGTATTTTGCTAACACTCTGGAGTCCTTCAAACTCAATAATTACTTCAAAACAAGAACAAATTACATTTCAACTATTGCATTATGAAATCTTATTGCAGACCTATTTAAACTATTTATAACCAAAGGAAAACTAACTTATCACACCAAGCACCTTTCCATTCTCCACGCCCCCATGGATTTCTTATATGTAACAATGTTGTTTTGCCAACTTTTGTGGATACCTGAACATCAAAAAGCACAAATTTGAGAACAGAACTATTTCAAACAGTATTTAAATTTCACATAATTTTCTCGAAAAAAGTTTAAAATTTAGAAATGAAAAGTTAAAGATTATGACTCAACATATTTTTGTTAACAATTAAAAATAGTATTAAAATTGTATACAATCTACTCAAAACATTTTTAAAATTTTGAGACATAAAGTTAAAGATTTGAGCTCAAAATGTTTTCTGAGAATGGAACAATTCTAATTTAAAAGTTAAAAAATTAAATTTAGTTTCACTATGTCATAAAATCAGCTATGGTCAGACAAACCTCTTTAATTCTAATGATGGCATATGCATGTCCTTCATACAACCCATTATCACGTTTTACTTCCCTTTCTCCAGGGACAACTTGATGGTTCTGAAAAAATTTGTGAAAATATAAGGCCAGTAACTAAAATTGGCAAAGTTTATAGCAAGTGTTGACCATTTTTTTAATCCAAAATTTTATATTTTGATAATAAAGATGACAACTTTTTATCTTTATCTTCTTGATAAGACCAAATTCTCTCAAATTGTGATGATATTTACATTTAAAACTGTCAACATAGCTTGAAACTTTGCACAGAATGAGACTGACTGAGAGTAGTTAATGTTTGGTCTCTGACACAGTGAGTAAACTTAGAGTAATTCAATTGGATTTATTAAAAACAACAATTTACTTCTCCATTTATTTATCAATAAAACTATTTAATTAAAACTTCAGTTAAATTATGTTTTAAAAATAAAACCAAAACAATCAGTATTTCTTTTTTGCTTTAAACTAAACAATAATCAATCACTTTGATTCATATAATAAGGCTTTACTTACAAAAATAGCACTTCCCATAATGCTGTTCATTTTGGAGCAGTTGAGAATGATGTTTTTAAGGTTGGAGTCGTTGATGCTGTCTTTTAGAGGAACCATTTCCCCCATGCCTCCAGTCAGGTCAACTAGGGAGGAGTGGATCCTTCCACCATCAATGATGTCATAGTTTCCATGAAGCCTAGACAACGGAGAATTAAATTTTTAACTATTTTTATTTTGCTTTTGAAATTGTGTATAATGGGTTGCAAACATCTCTAATAATGACGAAAGACTTAAAGGCTTTACATAACAGCTTAATGTTGTAATTAGTATTACGATATAGATAAAAAAACAATCTATTATTTATCCGAATTTGGAAAATATTTTAATTGATTTTAAATTGCATCACAATAAAGTAAATTAAAAAATTTAAAAAGTTTAAAAACAATTTTAATTTGTGCGATTTTATAAGTATTAATTTATCTTTATCTAAAAATATATATTACATTTCAGAAATAATAAATTTTATAAATTTCATATACTCCACCCCCCCCCCAACGCCGTGCAGTTTCACATAGATTTGGATGGTTTAGTTTAAAGACTGCCCCCCCTGCTTCAGTCTGTGACAGGGCACCACCTGTACCCCCTCCTAATCACATTCACACATAGGCCTACACACACATGCACACCCACATGCACACACCCACATGCACACACACACACACACACACACACACACACACACACACACACACTGTACATACTTGGCAAAGGCCTTCTCCAACAGTGGACACCAGAACTCGTTGGGAGTTTTTCTATTGCTGCCATAGATCAGCTTGCCATTGTAGGTTGGTAGCCTGTCATCAACAACGATTTCAACCCATTTCCCATATTTCCAGAACACAAAACGAAATGCACCTGAAATAAATTACTAGCATTTTTTCCCAGCCTAATAAACAAATAAGAAATGGTTTGAACTGAATTTATTTGTAATCTCTAAATGTTTTGTACATTGTCATATAAACATTATACTGCACTATAACTCAATCTGAGGTTGAATTTCAAACCTGTAACTTTTGAATTGTAGATTTGATTCGTTTTCAAAAATAGTAATTCCCAGTTGATGCTCTGATAATAATACAAAACTGATATTAATTAAACTAAGCTTTACCATTAATTATTTTATTAATTTACCAATGTAATCCTTGTCAAAGTTTTGATCTCTGGGAACAATTTTGTGCAAAATATCTCTGTGGTTGGACGCAGCCAAACAGGCAACTGAAGCAATAAACCAGCAATTTCCTGATAAGAATGAAAGAAACTTTTAATTAATTTTAATTCAAGAACATTAACATTTCTGAACATTTACTATGACTAACAGAAACCAATGATTTATCTCCCATGATTTTTGTTCAGCCTTCTTGTCCCTTAAAATTTATTTGAGCAGTTTAACCTTTAACTTATATATATATATATATATATATATATATATATATATATATATATATATATATATATATATATATATATATATATATATATATATATATATATATATATATACACTAGCCGTCCCGACACCCGACCTAGCGATGCTACTGATGTAAAGTAAAATTGCATTTGTGCAACTATTTTCATAATTGATAACAAACTTGAGTTTAAAAATTGTCTTTTAGTGTTTCTCTGACTACATTCAATGTTATTACAAGTTAGTAGAAAGTAATTAGGCAGTCATCTTCTTTTAATATTTGAAATGTTCTACTTTTTTGTCGATATTTCTACGAGTTATAACCTACAAAACTGCTGCAACAAATAAAAAATCTGTTGATTTACATACCGAGATTGCCTTGATCAAAGTCATTGTAGATCAGATCGTTTACAATAAACTGTGGCTTCGTCACAAGATCCTACGAGATGGGAAAGAAAAATTGTAAATCGTGATGTGTGTTGGATTAATAAGTCTCTACCTTTTCCACGTCTTGGTGGGACAACTTCCGACCTATTCTGTTCGCATGACACACTCCCCCCACCCCTTTATATGACAAGCTCCCATACTTCTTTATGAAAACTCCCCCACCCCTCTATATGGTACACTCCCCCACCCCTCTCTATGATACACCCCACCCCTCTGACACACTCCCTTACCCTTCTGTCTGACACCCCCCCACCCCTCTATAAGACACACACCCCCACCCCTCTGTCTGACACACACCCCACCCCTCTAACTGACACACACACCCACCCCTCTGTTTGACACTCCCCCTACCCCACCCCCTCTGTCTGACACACACCCCCACCACTCTATATGACAACTCCCCCACTCTATGATAAGCCCCCACCCCTCTGTCTAACACACCCCTTACTCTTCTGATACATCCCCCTCTTTTGTGACACACTCCACACCCTTAATCCTACCATATTCCCCTGCGACTCTGTAATTTAGCTAAGCCGCTCCAGCTGTTACTGTCCACGATAATTTCATGACGACCAGACGTCAGGATGCAACCAAACCAGAATGATTTCTTCCACCCCCACCCCCCTCCCCCTCTTTTACAACCACTCCCAAACCCATCAAACTAACTACCCGATCGCTATTAAATTGTTTTCAACGCCAACTTTTACAATAGCGAGGTCACGTGTTATCACATTATAAACAAAAACAAAGCCTCGTGATTTCTTCACTGTCTGAGTCAGTAAATTCACGGAGGTCGAAGGTCAGGCAGGCAAGATTTATCGCCGTATTTTCTAAAGACAGCGAAACAAGGCGATTAGCGTACAAGGTAATTAAAGGACATGTCTTACTTGAGTTCAAGGCCAATGACTTAGAATCGTAAGCAATAGACTTAGTGATTGGGGAAGAAAGAATACTAAGGCATAGAGATTATTTTCCCCATCTAATGGCTCCTCATTTACCGGGGGATTCGAACTAGGGCCTTTTCGGGTTAGTCTATTGGTAGGCACCGCTAGCGATATTAACCAACAATCCTACCCGCTTCATCACCACCATCGCATGCTTTATATAAATTTATATGAATGTTACGACCCTAATTTTTTTTTTAAATTACGAAAATCCAAGCTACTGAAAAGTATATGATGAGGGAAACACTATTTTAAATCCTATCCGTAATTTTTCAAAATCGGATATATTTAAAACTGTAATATCATCAAGGGAAACTACTCCAGTGTGGATTTTGAACCGAGATTAACCAATACATGTTCTTAATACGTTTTAAAGAAAAAAAAGCCCTGCCTTGCTGAAGCCAAGCGGCGCAACCCATCAAGCCTATTGACTTAAGCACTTGGTTGTTTACCTTGATGCGTAAGTTCCCCAAGTGCTACCCTTAAGATGTAGATATTATTTGTCGAGAGACAAAAGACAATGTTGGATCAGAAGGTGGACATAAGGGGGTTTCGTCAATAAATGACGTCACGCATATGTGGGCTGACTTTTATAACGATGGGGGAGAGGCGTGGATATTTGAAGTAACGTATTGCTTAAAGAAAATTAATTCAAAATGCTACATTTTCTGTGAGTGGGGTGGGAATAGCCTTAAAAATTACCTTCTCCTTATCGTTGATTACAACCCCTAAGACACGATACCAATAGGAATAAGGTAAAGCAGACACTACAAGGTTTTTTTTTTTCAAAGTTGTACTCATTGAAAGAGAGGGCGTCCAAGACAAACCTGGAGGCGGAGTTTTCTTGAAGAACTAACGACAGCACGGATGTCTTGAGAGACTGCAAAATCAACAGCCGGGGACCGGACTAAGTCAAAGATTATGGTTGAGGTCCTATGCTCCACAAGGAGTAAAGGGGATTAAGTCAAGTTACCCATTTAAGTAGAACTCGATAGTTCTTAAAACTATGTATAAACAGTTACCCTTGTAATAGAAATGGACCATCAGTTTCATACATATGTAACCCCCGTCAGGTTAGAGAATCAATAAAAAAAAAAAGTGTAGGCCTAAGTGGTTTGGTTCACTGTATTTTCTAATAAGTTTTAGTAATAAAACCTCCAACAAATCATAAAGACATATCAAACCTAAACATATTTTAAATCAATTTAAAAAATATGTGTGTGTATAAGTAGGACTATGAATATGTATGCCCGCACACACACACATACACACACACACACACACATATATATATATATATATATATATATATATATATATATATATATATATATATATATATATATATATATATATATATATATGTGTGTGTGTGTGTGTGTGTGTGTTTGTATAT